ACTTCGGGCTCTCTGTGTTTTTCAAGCCAGGTAGGGAATCTTTTTAGTTGTTGCAATCTTTGAAGTATCGAGCTGGCTAGATTCCCATCTTTGTCTGGTGAGCTCTGGAACTGGGTATCTTTGGCTTGTTTTGAAGGTTTGATCCTTTTCCGTTGATCTGCCATTGCAGGAGATGTGTTTAAGGATCTTGTTGGAAGTGCATATTATGTAGCTCCTGAAGTTTTGCGCAGAAGCTATGGTGCTGAGGCTGATATTTGGAGTGCTGGGGTTATCTTGTACATTTTACTTAGTGGAGTTCCGCCATTCTGGGGAGGTATGATGCTTTGGGACATTTTGGTAGGGAGAACTTTGAACTTCTGAGAGATTTTAGAACATTCAATTCTGGCAATTTCCTCGTTGGTTTATGGTGTTGGCCACATTTGAAGAAGTAGAATTTTCATTGGTTGCTAGTGAACTTGCTAAATTAAGCTAGTAGAACTGCAGCTGATGTTCGTTATGGTCCATGCTCTAAGTGTTCTTGATCCTGCCTCCCCTGCTAGCATCTCATCTTTGGCTTCTGTTCTTTGGTTTGCAGAGACAGAGCAGGCTATCTTTGATGCTGTTTTGCATGGGCATATTGATTTCTCTTCAGAGCCATGGCCTTCCATATCAAGTAGTGGTAAAGATCTCGTCAAGAAGATGCTGAGGGCTGATCCAAAGGAAAGGCTATCAGCAGTTGAAGTGCTCAGTAAGTGTCATGTCCCTAATGCAGATGCAGAAAGGGAGAGTCATTTGACTTCCTTGGATGAGAGAAGTCATGTCCCTTGAGGCCTTGACTTCCTTGGCTTCTGAAAATGAGGGAGAGACATTTGACAAGAGATTGAATTTTGTTCTGCAGATCATCCATGGATGAGAGAAGACGGTGATGCATCCGATAAGCCTATTGATATTGCTGTTTTATCAAGAATGAAACAGTTCAGGGCTATGAACAAGCTAAAAAAAGTAGCTCTGAAGGTATGCCCTCATATTGTTTTGCTTGCCTACGCTTTTTCCTAGCTTCTGAGGTATAGTTTAATCTCTCCTCATTTTCTAGGTAATCGCAGAAAATCTTTCCGAGGAAGAAATCATGGGGTTAAGAGAAATGTTTAAATCCATGGACACGGATAACAGTGGAACCATAACTTACGAGGAGTTGAGGGCTGGTCTTCCAAAGCTCGGCACCAAGCTGTCCGAGTCTGAAGTCAGGCAATTAATGGAAGCGGTATAATCTCTGCTCCTTTCTCATGGTTTCTTATCTTTGCATGAGCTTAGCATTGCTTCAGCCATGGAGTAAAAGATCATTGATGGTAGTGTCAAATGTGATCTCCTCTCTTTAGGCGGACGTGGATGGAAATGGAACAATTGACTACATAGAGTTCATCACTGCAACCATGCACTTGAATAGAATGGAAAGAGAGGATCACTTGTACAAGGCTTTTGAATATTTCGACAAGGACAAGAGCGGGTATTCTTACTGTCTCAATGTTGTTCATGTAATTTTATGGATTCTCTTCCCTCTACCAAATCTTCCTTTTCTATGTCTCTGTCTTGTTGTAGGTACATCACCATGGAAGAGTTGGAGCATGCGCTTAAGCAATACAACATGGGTGATCCCAGAACGATCAAGGAGATCATTGCAGAAGTAGACACTGACAATGTATGTGTTCTGTTTGTTTCGGTTTGTCGTGCTTTCTATGCACACACAATCATGGAGGGTCGGATCTCTGATATGTTCTTTTGACAGGATGGAAGAATCAACTACGACGAGTTTGCAGCAATGATGAGAAAAGGCAGTCCAGAGTTGGTCCCCAACAGACGGCGCAAGTAAGCTGATGGTATGGTATCCGTCTGAGATCCATTCTCGACCACTTAAGGTTTTGTAATGCATTAGGAACGAGTGTCTGTTGTTGAGAGAAGAGTGTGTTTGGCACATTGACCGTTTCACAATAAACGCGATAGTAAATTCCTCTTTACATTTGTTTTTTTTATCAGTGTCCGTGAGCAATGAGCATCCATATCTGCAATCTTTTCCCAATTGCATTATGACGTGGATTGGAACTCATCAATGTCATTGATGTAGGAAATGATGTAATTATGCAAGCTTTCGTAGAAAGACCAATTGCAATGCCAACGTAGATGGACATCATAGGGGTCTGGTTAGGGATATCAATACAACCCGTAACTATGGGTACCCTACCCGATCGTAACCGGTCAACGAGGGTAATTAACCGCTTTGACAGGTTAAGGGCGGGTACGGGTAATACCTGGTTTCAAAATAAAGGGTAGGGTACGGGTATGATAATCGATAATACCCGCCCCGTTATACCCGCCCAACTAACCAAAGGGTCAATTTCCCTTGAGAAATTTATTTTAGCTTAAGAAATTGAGTTTAGCTACCATTATTGATGATGAAGATGTAGACGATTATTATGTTTGTGTGGATTGTAGAAGCGATAACAATTATTATGTGTTTGTTATTTTTATTTGTGTGGATTGTTGAAACTAGAACAGTTACAAGTATTGAGAATTTTTAATGGACAACAGTATGTATGTGCATATATGTGTATAAGTTCATAGTTTAGGATTCGTACCCATGGTTACCCGAATAGGAGTGGTTACCCGGTGGGTAGGGTATGGTTATATAATTTTCATACCGGGTGGTTATTTGGTCGGGTATTTTAAAAAGCTATACCCGGCAGGTTAGGGGTTGGTATATGGTAAACCCGCACCCGACCCTACCCATTGCCATCCCTAGGTCTGGTCCTATTTTTCTTTGTGTCATTTAAATGAATTAAAATATACTTGATATGAGTTATTTTTTTAATATGCAATTATAAATGAATTCCATTAATGTAGAGGCAATGAAATTCAAATGCGTTGGATTGCAAAAATTTGATGAGGCGTCGATAGAAATCACATCGCAATTGACTTTGTAATTGCATGGATGTTGATGCTCTAACAACAACCTTATTTGATCTTCACTCTATGACTAGTCACGAGCTCTATTTTCGTGTGTGGCACGCGAAGCGTGGTCGAGGCTTAGAGACGAACCAAAAGAGCTGCAACCCAAATCTACTCGTTATATTGATCTATTCGATTCAATTCATTTATATTTACGGTTCAAAATAAGATTTAAGGTTGAGTTAGCATTTTTTACGAAATCCTTCCTTTTGAATTGGGTACCGGTTTTGCCTTCAAATTCGTTTCATTGGTGTCGCGTTGGTGGCCGGAGAGCTGGAAGAAGGTTCGTGGACTGTTAGGGGACCAAGGAAGAAATGGGCTACCAACTAACTGGCAACGTCGCAAACCACTCGAGTGTGTATGACAGAGGGTAAACATACCTTTTCCCATCCAAATACCAATTCTTACGTTGTGCTTCCATCTCCACGTCGATTTCTTCCTCGTATACTGTTGAAATATACTAGTTCACTTTGCGCATAAAACTTTGTGTTTAGTTTAAATAAATATTTCTAATTTGCTTTAAAAGCGCGTGTTCAAGTATATTGAACTAAACTATGTAGAAGAGAAGATTTCGTGAGATGAAATGAGAAGACAAAGAGAATTAGGGATTTTGACTTCCTTCTGTCAATGATCCAAGTCTTTTGTCAATGAACCAATTGGACCAAAACCGAAAATTAAACCAAACCGAAATAAGCCTCAACAGACTGAATTAATAGGAATGGGCCGAGACTCTTTAGGCCCACAAGCTGAAGACCGCTTTCCCTTAACTCAAGCCCACAGCAGATCAGAGTCAGGGAAGAGCAATCAGTCTTCTTCTTCCTCGTGCCAGCCAGCCTGAAACAGAGCCAAGCAGAGCAGGGGAAACAGAAACAGAGGGAAATCGAAATGCAGAAAGTAAAGCGCAGAAATTAAAGAACACAGCGGGATTTTTAACGAGGTTCACCACAGGGTTACTCCTCGTCCCTGAATAGTACCCACTATTCCGAGAGACACTTTTGATTTTCTTTGACTCTAAGAAAATGAAAGAAGAAAAGAGTTTACAGGATGTGGTGAGAAAATCAAAAGGCCGGACACTCAACCCAAATCCACGCAGGGATTTGTTACAACCTTTGATCGACTGAACCTCTACCTCAGTCTCAATCAAAGCCACTGTTTCTAACCCCTTTGCCCTTTTCCACAAAGAAATCAATCGAAACCAGCAAAGTCCGAGAGCCAAGCATTCTTCATTTATATAGCCTTCAGCAGGGAGCCGTTGAGAACACTCACAGAAATGGAAGTTATTCAAATCTTCAATCAACTCCCCCTTGATTCAAGCATCAATTAACTTGATTCTCTTAAGCAATCTCTTGACTTGATTTGATTGGAAATCTTCGAGGCCAACAAACTATTCATTTTTGTTTGGTATTGAGTTAAACTTTTTCAACATAATGTTTGTCTAAATATGTTTTAGAGTCGGCTGTCCATTGGCCGAAAAAAACTCTTCTTTGGCATGTCAATCAGTAAGTATTAGTTGTAGTATTTATGTTGTTCGTAATATCCATTTTTTATTCATATTCTTTTATATTATCCAAATCTATTAAAATGTTATTAATTAGCTAATCTTTCGTAATGCATAAAAGTATTAGCCATTTTTACGTTATCGTTAATAATTTTGTAACTCTTTATTAGTTAAAATACTAAAATTTTGAAATGTTGGTCTTCATATGTCTCTTCCAATTCGGTATCATATTGCCAAGTCAATATTACTAACAAAATTGCTAACTGAAATTAACATTTAGCTAATTTTAGGCATTTCGATAAATTTAGATGATATAAAAAAAATTTAAAAAAATTGAATAAGAAATAAACATTACTCATTTACAATCTATTTAAAAAAAAAAAGTTCACATTATTGACGGTAATTGTCTAATTTTAACTATATTTTAATAATTCTCGTAATTTATCCTAATTCTCATATTTTACTCGTAGTTTCCTCGTCTCCTCGACGACAGCCGATAAAACTCTTATACTTTGATGATTGATATCTAACATATTTCCCCCCAATTTGTACTATTTACTGTTTTTCTTCAGCATACACACTTCCTTGCCTTCTTCCCGATTTGTAGATTTACTTCTCCTCTTGCTGGTTCTCTCGATTTGCACAGCCTTCGTCTTCCCCAAAACCCTAGCTCTTAAGAGCTTTTCTACATGAAGCTCCGAAACAAGGCATAATCCGAATCCCGTAAATCTTGTTATATTCGGGTTGCACTCTCGTCACCCAGCTGCTGCTCTAGGTCCAGTGTTCTTCCCGACAAAATCATGGTAACTGTCTCAATCCCCTGTCTTTTAATAATCTATTAGATTCCAATTTGGACCCATTTGCCTATCGATTCTCTTCGGCTTGGCATATTCGAAAGTTACTCAATGATCTCCACTTCGTCGTCAATTCGTAGACAAGACTTTCATTGAGGTCGGAGTTGGAACACATTATGTAACCCGTTCGTGGGTAGTTTCCGTTGATTTCCGCTCAATTGGAGAGATATCAAATACGTTCGGCATATGATGAATTTGAGTGTTTGACTACCTTAGGCATTGTTCGTGTTACTTCCAAATCTTGGGACTCCTTTCCAATGTTGTGGTCTTTTGGGGTTACTGAAAGATTCTTCCTTTCCGTTTTAGGAATTCCGAATTTCTGATGGGTACTTAGCTTTTTGCTTTTGATTTTTACGTATCTGGAATGCATATGGAACACGATCAATTGCAGAAAGACCCGATGTAATATTTAAATCCTAAAGAAATGATGGCATTTTCATGCTTGCTAGAAGTAGCTGCACTGAGCTTGCTTTAGATATGAAGTTTGAGTCTTAAATAGCAGAGATATTCTGCATCATTTCAGAACTTGATCTATGCTGAACCTTTTGTCGAACTTAGTGTTCTCTCTTTTTGTTATTTAAGCAGGATGAGAATAAAACTCGGAGCAAGCATTTCCTTTTGTTAGTGTATCAGAGCTTTGGCATAGTGTTTGGGGACTTGGCCACTTCCCCTCTCTATGTCTATAGAAGTGCATTTGCTGGAAGGTTGCGCCATTATCAATCTGAAGAGGCAGTTTTTGGGGCTTTCTCCGTCATATTTTGGACCCTCTCTTTCTTTTCATTGTTTAAATATGCCGTCTTCATGCTTAGTGTAAATGATAATGGTGAAGGTAAAGAGCTGGATCAAATTTACTGGATTATTAAACCATTTGTTTTTTTCTGGCCAAATAGATACATTATGATCCTATTTGTTGATTTTGCAGGTGGAATTTTTGCTCTATATTCACTTCTTTGCAGGCATGGGAAGTTTTCTTTGCTCCCTAATCAACAAGCTTCAGATGAGGAGCTTTCAACGTATCAGCATGCGGGTTACTCAAATAGAAGTGTGCCTGCCTCTTCGTTCAGAAGGCTTCCTGACCGTGATAAGAAGTCAAAGTTAGCTCTACTTATACTGGTCCTGATGGCTGCTAGTATGGCCATGACTCTTGGTGTCCTTACACCAGCTATATCTGGTGAGTTCAGTGTTTTTGGTTCATCAGTTCTACTTCCACTTGGTTTTCTTGTTTTCCTTATCCCTTTATTGTCTGACAGTTAATCTTATGCAGTTGTTTCATCCATTGAAGGACTCAAAGTTCAATCCAATGATCTGAATCACAGTGAGTAGTTGTTACTTGTGAAAGTTTGATTACTCTTATTTGACATTTTAACGCTGGAATGGTAATGATGCACACCTTAGATGTTAGTTCCCGTTGGATAGAAATTTTATTTTCCTATACACGATTACTAGAATTCAGAGTGAGTAGAATTTTTTAGCTAACCCCTCAGAGTTCCCATTGTGTGGTAGAATATTGTTGATTATGACATAGTTAAGTGAATTATAAGTTATAAAATTTGCTATATTATCATGATAGGCATTTTTCAGTAACTTCTCTGAGCTTGTTAAACATAATTTAAGTTTGATGCATTCCAAAAGGTCTAGTTAGTTTTCAATTCCGGTGGCTTAAAGATTTTGTCAAGAGAAGAAGCCAAGATAAACCAATTAGTATTCTTCTAAAATTTTACTGCATCCATCAAAACTACTCTTATGTTTCATCTTCTTGTGGACTGTTCAAGACACTGACACATTTTTATGTGTATACAGGAATTATGGTTGCCCTTGCAGGTGTTTTATTACTCAGCCTTTTCGTTCTGCAATATCAAGGCACACATAAGGTGGCTTTCATCTTTTCTCCAGTTGTTCTTCTGTGGCTGTTGTCCATTGCTGCTCTTGGTGTATACAACATCATGCACTGGAATCCTAGAATATACGAGGCTCTTTCTCCAATATACATCTACAGGTTCTTCAGACTCACTGGAATCGATGGTTTGATTTCTCTTGGAGGTGCATTATTATGTATCACTGGTAATATGCCTCTCTGTTATATGTTAATTTTCTCGGGCATTATTATCTTCAGCAAACCTAATGCATTTTTAACTGCAGGAATTGATATTTTGTTTACTGAGGTTGGCCAGTTTTCAGCTTCATCGATAAGGGTATGTTGGAACGTGAACTCATGTAAACTAGGAATTCATACTTCTCCTCTTTGAGGTAAAAAAGAAGCGCCATGTAAAAGTATCTATTTGTTTTTGCAGGTTGCTTTCTGCTTCTTTGTATACCCATGTTTAGTTCTTCAATATATGGGACAAGCTGCATTTCTTTCAAAGAACTTCTCTGCTATATCCTTGAGTTTCTATGCGTCAGTTCCAGGTACATTATAACTGGAAGAACTAATCTGGACCTTACTGTCTTCGTCTCTTCAATTCATAATTCTTTTGAAGTTTTATTGTCTTCAAAGTTTTGTTGGACTGTTTTGGTTGCAGATGCAGTTTTCTGGCCAGTTTTAGTTATAGCAATTCTGGCAACAGTAGTTGTTAGTCAAGCTGTGTTATCTGCCACATTTTCCACTGTCAAACAGTGTCATGCGCTAGGGTGTTTCCCTCGTGTCAAGATTGTGCACAAATCAAAGTGGATTGATCGTCAGATATACGTCCCTGAGATAAACTGGATCCTTATGGTTCTCTGTTCGGCAGTGACTCTGGGTTCTCAAGATACCACCCGCATCGGAAATGCATATGGTTAGTCGTTTTTGATGCAGTGAATACATCTAATGTGTGTTTGTTTCATCCAAATTTTTAATTCTTCAAACTTAGTCTGGGGAAAAAGCTCTAACAAAGATACTTTTGCCATATAATTTCTTAGAACAACTCTTCACCCTAAATCCCATGATTTATTTAAATAAAAAAAACCTAATTTCCAACTTTGCTCCTTTTAACTAAGATTTATACATGTTATAGTCATTTCTTCACTTTACTCGGCAACCTTAGCCTAGCGAGCTTCGCACGTAAATCATTATATATGTGATATATAACCATGGCATACTTCCATTATCAGATTATGCATCTTTTGTTATCGAACATTATATGCTGATTGATTTTCCATTATAAGCTAACACATTACCAACTTAAATTTTGCAGGGATAGCATCAATGACTCTGATATTCATCACCACATCCCTAATCTCCTTGTCCATCTACTTCGTATGGCACAAGGGTCTCGCTCTCGCCCTTTCCTTCTTCATCCTCTTCGGATCAATCGAGCTGACCTTCCTCTTCTCATCCTACATAAGAATCCTCCAGGGCGGATGGGTTCCACTTCTTCTCTCTTCCATCTTCCTGTTCACCATGTTCGTGTGGCACTACGGCAGCAGAAAGAAGTACTTGTATGATCAAAACCACAAGCTTCCCATGAAATGGATCCTCACTCTTGGTTCAGATCTCGGCATTGTAAGAGTCCCTGGTATAGGTCTCATATACACTCACTTAGCAAACGGAGTCCCTGCCACTTTCTCCCATTTCCTAACCAATTTACCAGCATTCTACCAAATCATTGTCTTTGTCTGTGACAAAACTGTCCCTGTTCCTTTTGTCCCACAAAAGGAGCGATACCTTGTTGGAAGAATAGGCCCTAAATCCTACAGAATGTACCGTTGTATCGTCCAAAATGGGTACAAGGATGTTAATGAAAACGAGAACGAGTACGACTTCGAGAATGCTCTGATTATGAGCATTGCAGAGTTCATCCAGCTAGAAGCAGAAGGCGGAGGAAGTGGGACACCCGACGGTGGGTCCATAGGAGGTCGACTAGCTGTTGTGAAATCTTCTGAGAATTTTGGGAAGAGATTTGGGATCTCAAAGTCTAACGGGTTTGAAGGAACCAGCAGCAGCTCTTTGAACATAACCAGCAGCAAGTCAGCAACACTGCTGAAGCTGAAGATGATGTACGATGAGCAGGAGTCACCTGAGGTGAAGTTCAAGACGAGGGTACAGCTGACGTTGGTCGATACGAGGTACAAGGACTCGTTTGTGAAGGAAGAAGTGATGAGACTGATGGAAGCTAAGAAGTTCGGTGTGGCGTATGTGATAGGGCATTCGAACAGCAAGGCGAAGTGGAACTCACCGTTCTTGAAGAGGTTCCTGATCAACATTGTGTACTCGTTTTTGCGGAAGAACTGTCGCGCGCCTTCGATAGCTCTGTCGATTCCTCAGACTTCGTTGATCGAGGTTGGTATGAACTACACTCTGTAAGTTTCAGAACTGTTGTTCTATACCTGTTGATTCCAGACAGGTGTATGTATGTGTAACACTTGTTTGTTGGTTTCATTGAAGTTCTGGTTTTGTGGAGTTCTTTGCATTTTGTCCATCCACATCAATTTGAAGAATCATCTACAGTTATTATATGATGTATTGATAAATAGCAGCAGGGGACTGGTTGGTATGTTCCCCTTTTCAAGAGCGTTTTATTATTTGAAAAGACACGAGAAGATAATGCAAGCTCGAGTAATCTCAAATCTGGCAATAATGAAACGGACAAGGCTTCGTTTGTCTCAACTTTTTTCCATTCCTTGTCTCTCTTTGAAGCAGAAGTTCAATGGATTAATGCATTTTTTTTTTTTTTGGATAGTACAACAAGGAAATCAAGCAAAATGAGGAATGCGCCAATCACGTTTTCTATACAGTAACATTTTATATTACATTCCGACTGAATGGCTTCAATTATGGAATCAAAATTATTCATAGGAAAACTCGCAACGGATTAGATAGTTTACTTATGAGCCATTCAATCCGGATTAGAATTCGTCATTAAGTACGATATTTTCTAACTTGTCACTAATAATGTTCGGTGAAGTTATATAATCCGTATCGAGGAGTTTATATTTATACTCAATTGAAGTATGATAGTTGTATAAAACCATTCTTATTACGTATTTGGGGCCGGGCAGAGTATATTGATAATGATAATTTTTAGGTAAAATCATAAAATAGTCGCGCGAAATAATTTATTTGTTCCACGCATGACGCACCTCCATCGTCTCATTCTTGTTGGAATGGATCAAGTTACAGAAGGTTGAGTTTTTTTTTTATAAATGGATACAGTGCATCTCAGCTTTCATTCACAACCAAATGAGACTCAGATGGTCCTTGACAATCATACAGGAGGAAATGACATAAACCAGAATCAGAAAACTGGCACATTAGGAAAGCCCAAAGCAAGAGTATGCCATCTACTAGCCAAGTAGTCCCCGCATTTGTTTCCCTCCCTGTAAATGGGCTATCGAGACTAACCTATCTAGAGTAAGAAGATCCTTGAAGCGATCAATAATAGCGACCTGGTGATGATCCGACGCCTCACTACTCTGTAGTAGGCTAGTAGCTGAATCGCACATTTGGAATCAAGTTCCATGCGAACTCGTTGGTGGCTGGTATCCCAAGCCAACTGAAGTCCTTCAACAGCGCCTCTCAATCCTGCTCGGGTGATAGAACAAATCTCCAAGTTAATAGCAAACGCTGCCGTGTAGCGTCATGTATGATCTCGAATCAGGCCACCTGCTGCGACGTGACTTGAGTCCGGAAGGACGAAATCATCTGAATTGAGAGTGATCCACTTTAGAGGTGGCGGCTTCCAATATTTCCGGCCGAATGTGCATTTTTCATGTTATTAGGATTTACAAATAAATAATTGACGAATAAATAGCACAAAAGAGGATCTGGTTTCCATTGTTTTTCTTTTGGCTAAATTGCAAAGAGTGACCAATATTTCCGACCGAAAATCTAATTTCCCAAACATCTCGGGTTACAATACCACGCTTCCGAATTTAATATCACGAGAGAAAAAGGAGAAAAATGCAAAATCTTATACGAGTTGCCAAACACGGTCTTTAACTCTTAAAATTTTCCAGAAAACAACGGCCACCACAATTTCTTTGCAAATTCCCCTTTCTTTCTTCCGCGCTACAGCTGAGCTTCCAGCTCATCCTTTTCCTCCCAATCCGAAGCGCATTTCTTCTCCAACTGCCAAACGCGATCCTAATCATCTATCTCCTTCCATTTCTACCTTCCTTCCGTCCGTCTTCCTCTCTCCCTCCAACCACCGCCATCACGACGCCCGAGCTGTACCCATTAGGGCTTTCGCCGTTCCTTCTTCCCCTCTGATTGCTCGAAACAGGAAATTTCCAACTCGCCGATTGGAGTTTGTTCACTCTTGTGATGCGGATCAATTTGGGGTTCTAATTGGGGGTTCCTAAATGTTGAGCTATTGCTGCTCTCAGTCCCTTTCTCAGCGGCCGAGTCTCGTCCCTTCCTTTTCCAGGCAGTTTAGGGCTCTTAATCGCCCTGGGTCCTCGTCTCTTTCGGCCAGGAATCCCCGGATCCTTGAACCCAATTCCAAGCTTCACAAGAATGTAAAGTTTCTTCTTGTAAAGCTGCGTTCTTTCGGCTATTTGCTATTAGCTGATTGGGGCTTTTTTCATCACTCAATTTGAGCTGAGAGATTCCAGCTTGTAGCTTTCTGGGTAGCTGACAAAGGATTGCCGAATTTTTATTTTCATGTACTGCATGATTATGCGACAAAGGGTTGTTTGCCTCTGATTGCTTTCTCTTCTATTTGCTTTCTTACAGAAATGGAGGATTTCGTGTTTTAGACATGAGGATTTTACCCCTGCGAATCCCAAGTCTGATGGCGTTGAGCACTTGCTTCCTGAGGAGCCACTTAAGCAAGAACCTGAACTCAGTAGTTCTTCTGCTCCGGTTAAAAGGGATTGGATATCGAATCTTAGAAAGGTGTATTTTTTCGTCCCGCGTTTATGAGAACGATTGATTGCAAAAGTGGCTTTTTATTGTGATTTTTAATCTCCATGCCTGTTTGATTTTGATGTGCTAGTACGAGACAATCGGACTGTAATTAGTGGAAACGTGTCTGGTGACTTGGTTCTTATTTCTTACCAATGCATCAAATTTCACCTTTGTGTGGTTCTTCCTTCTAAATAAGGAAGGAGGATATAATGTAGAACGGGTTGCTTTCAGAATTAAAATTCAATGATAACTTGCTTAGGATTAGCTTTCGTCATATTGCTATTTGGATGAGAGTAGGAATAAGGATACCAACCTGACCATGAATGTCTATACACTTCAATGAATGTTTCTCCAGATTAACTATCAAGTACAAGAGTAGTTGAATGTATGTCTCGTCACGTTTCAGAACCAAGAGCTTCCTTTTATATATGCACTACTTCCATGGGAGAAGTCAGTGGCAAACACTCTCCACATTTGTGTTTTGAAGTAGGAATGGGATTATAACAACTACTTTGCTCTGTTTCCAGGTGGTTGATGTTGTGCAAAGGGCAATTGGAAGTCGGTGGACTGTACCATGGACTGCAGAGACCATAATCCAGGTAAAATGTCTTCAACCTATTATTATATGAATCGTACTAAAAAACTAAACAACTAGATGAAAAGCTTTGAAGTTCATAAATTGACAAGTTAGAGAACCATATGTTGGCAATGTCTGGTCTTAGAGTCTCTTATCTCTCTTAACAATACGCGTTTTAGGTTCATCATAGGCCATTTTTCTCCATTCTATCCGTCGAACATTTCCACTTAAGGCATTTAGAAGCAACCATTAATCTTCCTCCTCAGGCTATTTATACTAAACTTCATTTTGGTGATGCAGGTAATGCTTCTCTGGGTAGTCACATTCTGGTTTATAGGGTCCTGGGTTGTCCCCTTTGCAGCCCATATGGCAGGCGTCAACAAGGAATCCCTAACCTTCAGAGGCCAAGCCTTATTCAGCCTTATCACCGACGCCACAGAAGGTCTCGCTGGTATAGCAATCCTCCACCGCTGCCTTTCAAAGTTCCGCCCTCTTTCCTCCGATTGGTTTCGGTTCACCCCGAGAGGCAACTGGATGCTCGATGTCGCCCTCGGATGCCTCATGTTTCCCCTAGTCAACCGCCTCTCCCAGTTCAACCTCAGCCTCCTCCCCATACTACCCTCAACACCTGTCACGCTCTCTAGCGTTGAGCAGTCGATCGCTGCACGGGATCCCGTGGCAATGGCTCTTTATGCCATAGTAGTATCGGTCTGTGCACCCGTGTGGGAGGAGATTGTGTTTCGAGGCTTCCTCTTGCCGTCATTGACCAAGTACATGCCGGTTTGGTGTGCGATACTGGTGAGCTCGGTCGCATTTGCCCTGGCCCATTTTAATATACAGAGGATGCTACCACTTGTTTTTCTAGGGGTGGTGATGGGAATAACTTTTGCACGATCAAGGAACTTGTTGCCCCCCATACTCTTGCATAGCCTGTGGAATGGTTTCGTGTTCTTAGATCTGATGAAGTAGGATGGTTCTGAGTTTCATGATGCTCTTTGCAAAAGGTATTGAGCATTTAGCATTCATATTGATGGCATATGAAGAAGGGAAGGGTTTGTTATCTCGCCACGGAGAAGGGGGTGGTGTCAAGTGAATGAAGAAGAAGAAGAAGAAGAAGAAGAAGAAGAAGAAGAAGAAGAAGAAGAGGGTGAGTAGGGTGGAGATTTATATGACCAACAGCAGCAGAATGCAAGTAGAAGAATTTGTATTAACAGAGGTGGATGGATGATGGATCCATACTATTTGTAGAAGTAGAAGTAGCAGTAGCAGTGCAGAATGTATCATGTCTACAAGCCTGTAATTATAATGGAGACAATTAAGTTGGGAAATATTCAATGGAAACCCCTGAAAAAAGGGGGGAAAGATTTATCCTTTCGAGCTCCATGACCCTTCCAAAGCTGCGTGTAATGATAGAGAGTTCTTCACCGCAAGTCCGCAACTAACAATTCATGGTTTGCAAAAGTGCAATAGAGAAAACTAGAAAAAGGTTGTCAGAAGTGGGATTTGAACCCACGCCCTCTTTCGAAGACCAGAACTTGAGTCTGGCGCCTTAGACCACTCGGCCATCCTGACTGTTTGTTAAGTTTTCGTTAATTTTATATATTATTACCTTAATTTGTTTCGTGTGTGTTAACAGCCACTAGAACTGTGATTATAATTTACATCTAATGATGAGAGGTGTTTTTTTCAATAATGGTTTTCTGTATTATGCATGCGCCTTGTAAAACCTAGGGATGTAAAAAAAATAAAAATGCAACAATTGGGTATTGTCTCCAAATATATGGCTCAAATAGGGTTTTTTTGGCTAATGTATTTCCAACTGTTTAGCTTGGTCTAAATTAGACTCATGATATCAAGTAAAAAAAATGTTACTCAACCCAAAGTATTTGTTTTTCTTTGTGAGGAAATAAACAAAAATGAGTAAATATTAAACACCAACACTTAATATGGATATGAGATGAGAATAGTTTACGAGATTATCAGTATTGATTTTTTTTTGTGTACAATCATCTGGAACCAAGCAAATTATCAAAATTAGACCTAATCCAAATCCACCCAAACCCAAATGAGTTCACCATTATTAGTTAATTTTCATTTTTAGTGTTTTATCTCTATATAGCTATTCAACATAAGTCTCTTACTCATGCGGACATAAATGTATCATTTTTCTTACGGTATGGAGTATCATTAATTTAAATGATGAGAATTTTATTATAAGAGTGATAGTTCTTTTATATTAGTTACTATATGAAAAATTCGAATCTGGAATCACTATATTCAAAATCAATAGTAGTACTAATACAAGTAAAATACTATTGAGGTTTGCTTAATAGTTAGACCTGTGAAACCCGGCTACAATACAAGTAGAAGCTGCTGATCATGAGTTGCTTTCTGGCGCCTGCCTGCGCCCGCTCAGTCCAGTCTTCCTCCATGCCGATTTCACGTGCCTTCCGATATACGGCCAAGCTTCCGCCGCCCGGCCCCTACTCCTTTAATTTTTTTCCCTTTTCTTCTTTTGTCAGGCAACTTCCCGCAACTTGATACCCTAATTAACAAGTTGGCTGCTGAACTTTCCGCACAAATTACCCCTTCAAAATGCTCTGATTAACTAAAAAGCATTCCTATTTGTCAAACCAAATTCGTTGTTCTAACCCCGAGTTACGTTGATGGGGGAAAGTTTAGGTTATGAAACTTGTATACTTCACTCAAGTACTTATACGAAGGTGTCACAATTCGCGACAACCTCACTCACATTTTGCATGTATATCTTGGATTATTCATATTGAAGTTGTAAGGATTCGAATACACCAGGTATCGTACATAAATATCCTTAGAGAAAATGAATTGGGTGGTGCATGAATCGGTTAATTAAGCACAGTTACTGAATTCCAGTCTGCTGCGTACCTAACTAGCTTGCACATAGAGCAGAATCAAATTGGTTGGGAAGATATTCTTCCCAAAAGGGAGAAAATATATAATCTAGTTTATGTGATGATAACTAGACACTATTACTGAGATGTGAAGTCATCCACGTGAATTTATGCTCTGCCCTATCTACCTTTGGCTCACTGCTCAATATTGACAAACGGATATTGTTGGTTATTATGTATTTGCAGTTTGCCCGCTGGGTGCATGTTCCCTTGGAATCGTAAGTTTAAATATCAAATACCATTATTTACATGCAAAGCAAGCAGCAGATTAAAGGAACCAACACCAATTCACCATTGATGGCTGCAAATTGCAATACTGCATCCCAGCTACCCGCTGGCTTTATAACGAAAACTCAAGGGAGCAAGCAAGTGCAAGAAACCGGACATCACGATTTCCTAACCTTTTCAGTCTCAAACTACCTAAACTAAGGGTCCTACACAATAATTAGTTGGTCCTAGAACTTTTACAATCATACAAACTAGTCCTACACAATACCAAAGCAATTCTAGGATTATCTGAATCGCACTGATATAAGTGATTATGTACCCTACTATAAAACAACATTATTTATTTCTTCTTACTGAGGAGGATTCGGGAAATTTCATATATGGTAGAGATCGTTCCTCTATAATTCGGGATGATTTGCTAAAAAAATGGGGACATTTAGGTCCTTCCCCAATCAAAGTGTAATAGTGAAAAAAAAAGTTGATGACTGAAAAGTGATTAAATGCAAATAGGATAACCAAAAGTGTAATTCGCCATTCGAGCGCGAATATATAACAGAGCCCGCGCCAAAGGGCTGAAAACCGCGGGGAGAGCGACACGTAACGAACCTCTCGTTGGACACTCATCACTCTCTCACTGCTCCCGCTCCAAAACCGGAGCCAGAACAACCGCCGCCGCCGCTCCCCTCCGCCGTCCGCCGCAGGAAAAAAAATTAACCAAAAAAAAAAAAATACAGAGGAAATCAAAATACCCATACCACGGTGTTTTTTTTTTTCTTTCTGCCCCCAGAGATCCGCCTTCTCCGCTAATTTCAAATTCCACCATCTGTCAGCCGATCATCATCATCACTAAATACCAGTTTTCCTTCTCTGTTTTGAAATCCCTACGAAATCAGAAACCGTTTTCTGAGGCTAATCGCGTAGATCGGTCAATCTCGTCGTCACCCCCATTAGTTTCTATTTCCCGTTCTTCTTATTTTCTTGGGAAATTGTCCCTCTCCAGTTTTCCCTCTTCGCGCGACCGAGCGGAAACCCGTATTTCGTTTTCCTCTGCTCGAGACGGTCGATATGGAGCAGAAGCAGTTTCTGTTGTCGGCGTTGGGCGTCGGCGTGGGAGTAGGTGTGGGGCTGGGGCTGGCGTCGCCGTCGATGAGCAAATGGGCCGGCGGGAACGCTTCCGCGGCGAACGTCGTGACGGGAGATAAGTTGGAGCACGAACTGTTGAGACAAGTGATTCATGGAAGAGAAAGCGGCGTTACCTTTGCCGAGTTTCCTTACTACCTCAGGTCGGTCTCTCTTCTCTCCCTCAATTTTTTTTGTTCCCCTTTTTTTTCCCCCATTTTACCGTTCTCGTTGCTTGGTTTCCCGTTTTCCAACAAATTCGCGAACTAAAATTACGTAGTTAGATTAATCTGCGATTTTCCTGCAACAAGAAAGAAAATAATTTACTTGCTCTGTTCCATGTTGCGATCTCGTTTGCGAGAATATTAATTGTGATACACAACTGTTCGTCCCTAAACTACTAATTTACGCGATATAATGATAATACGAAACGATGATATTTACAATATTTATTCAGTATGTAATGCGTGGATGTTAATCAGTTTTATTAATTTGTGTTAATACCTTAGATCTGAAGTTTGTTACCCAAATTTTCAAATTACAAGTTTGATCCACTATTAGGGTTCACTAGGTCAACATTGGAATCTAAATTTCGTATCTTCTGATCGTTGTGGCAGTGACCAAACCCGAACATTGCTGACTAGTGCTGCCTATGTCCACTTGAAACATGCCGAAGTTTCAAAGTACACGAGGAACCTTTCACCTGCTAGTCGAACTATACTGCTCTCTGGCCCTGCAGGTTACTGCCTACACACACACAAAAAAGAAAAACTTTCTGAGTTCCCTGTGTTTGGATTTTTGTACATTGGTTTCACATTTCTGACCGTAGCTGTTGATTACTTGAACTACAATCTGCGACTGTGAAGAACTTTACCAGCAAATGCTTGCCAAAGCTTTAGCCCACTACTTTGATGCTAAACTGCTGATGTTAGATATAACAGACTTTTCTCTCAAGGTGAGAGCTACCTCTCTGCATTTCACATTTCTCCGAGCTTTAAATGGTGGGTGGTGGTGGTGTTGATTTGTTTACAATGAACTTTGTTTGCTACAGATTCAGAGCAAGTACGGCACAAGCAAGGAAGCCACTGTAAGTTTCTCTGGCTCTCTTCTATGATCAAATTCCTTTTCCATGCTTCCGTGTTGATGGTATGTTCTTGATGACCTTTTTCATCTTGCATTTGCATGTTCTAGTCTTTTATGAGAAAGTCAACTTCAATGGAGCGGCTGTCTGGTTTCCTGGGATCCTTGTCCATACTGTCCCAGGATAGGGAACCTTTGGGTATCTTTCTTCCCTTTCTCACTCTGTCGTTGTTTTACTAGTGCGGTTTCTTACCCCTGATCAAGATGGTCTTCTTGTTGCAGGTTCTGGTACTCTACGTAGGCAACACAGTGGAGTAGACCTCTCATCAGCAAGGTAGCAAATACACGAGATTGATCTATTGCTTAGCTGAAAATATGAAAAGGGTTATCTCTTATAACGTTTCAGTTGGTCCTTATGTTATAGTTCGGTTTAAATCTTGTCCTGATAATACAGAGGGATGGAAGGTTCCTCTAATCTCCCCAAGCTACGAAGAAATGCCTCTACCTCTAATATGAACATGCTAGCCTCACAATCTGCTTCTGCTAATACAGGTTTTTGTCACTTTGAACTTCTTAGCCCTCAATTGAATATATTCTGGTAAAAGTGTATCATGCAATATCACCTACTAACTTCAAAATTTTGGGTTGTGTTGTTTTCCTGAAGCAGCTCCTTTGAGGCGACAAAGCAGCTTATCTTTCGACGAGAAGCTTCTCATTCAGTCTCTCTACAAGGTCCTGGTCTACGTCTCCAAAACCAGTCCCATTGTGCTCTACCTTAGGGACGTGGACAAGTTCTTGTCACGTTCCCAGAGAATCTACAACCTGTTCAACAAAATGCTGAAGAAGCTGTCTGGTTCGGTGCTGATCCTCGGTTCTCGAAGCGTGGATCTCGAGAGCGAGTACAGGGAGGTCGACGAGAGACTCACCATTCTCTTCCCTTACAACATCGAGATCAAGCCGCCAGAAGATGAGAACCAACACATCAACTGGAAGTCCCAACTAGAGGAGGACATGAAGATGATTCAAGTTCAGGACAACAGAAATCACATCATGGAAGTTCTCTCGTCCAACGATCTCGATTGCGATGATTTGGATACTATCTGCATGGCTGACACGATGGTTCTTGGTAACTACATTGAGGAGATTGTTGTGTCAGCTATTTCGTATCATTTGATGAACAACAAGGATCCTGATTACAGGAATGGAAAACTCATCATCTCATCTAAGAGGTAAAATGGTATTAGGAACATTTTTCTAATGGTATACTTATGTTTGTTTGAGAACTCAACTCTACTGGGTGTTTTTTTCTTCTTCTTCTGAAAACCAGTCTGTCTCATGGATTGAGCATATTCCAAGAGGGCAAGTCTGTTGGCAGTATCAAGTTAGAAGCTCAGGCTGCACTCCCAAAGGTAATTTAGTTAGTTTTATGTTTTTTATTCTTGAAATTATGTAGTTTGATTCAGTGCAATGTGAACAAAATTTAGTGAATTTCTAACTCCCTAAGCTAATGGTTAAAATGACTGCAGAATGAAGCGAAGATTGAAATCAAAGCTGACGCGGTAGTACCAGAAAAGAAAGCCGATACAGGGACACCAGGAAAAGGAGCCAAACCAGAAAACACTGCTCCACCGCCACCAAAAGCTCCAGAGGTTGCACCAGACAACGAATTCGAGAAGCGGATAAGGCCGGAAGTGATACCAGCAGACGAGATCAACGTAACCTTCGCTGACATCGGTGCTCTAGAAGAAACCAAGGAGTCACTGCAGGAGCTGGTGATGCTTCCTCTGAGACGACCAGACTTATTCAAGGGCGGACTCCTGAAGCCATGCAGGGGAATCCTGCTCTTTGGACCCCCTGGCACGGGCAAAACAATGCTCGCCAAGGCCATCGCTCGAGAAGCTGGAGCCAGTTTCATTAACGTGTCGATGTCTACAATTACATCGAAATGGTTCGGTGAGGACGAGAAGAACGTCCGAGCACTGTTCTCGCTTGCATCGAAGGTCTCGCCTACGATCATTTTCGTGGACGAGGTTGATAGCATGCTCGGGCAGAGAACCAGGGTTGGAGAGCATGAGGCCATGAGGAAGATCAAGAATGAGTTCATGACTCACTGGGATGGCTTGGCGACGAAGCAAGGTGAAAAGATCCTTGTTCTTGCTGCGACGAATCGTCCGTTCGATCTCGATGAGGCTATCATCCGGCGTTTCGAGCGCAGGATCATGGTGGGGCTTCCATCTGTGGACAACCGGGAAATGATAATGAAGACCCTGTTGTCGAAGGAGAAGGTTGACGAACGGCTGGATTTCAAGGAGCTGGCTGTGCTAACTGAAGGCTACTCTGGGAGTGATCTAAAGGTGGGTAGTAATATATATCTGTCACGGTTGATACAACTTCTTAGCATATGTTATACAGTTTGACCTTAGAATCATGGAGATTTGAAAAGTTTATGATATAACTTTTTTTTGGTAATGCAGAATTTGTGTACTACCGCTGCTTATCGACCAGTTAGGGAGTTGATACAGCAAGAGAGGAAAAGGGATATGGTAAGTTTCTCATTCCATTTTTCCTTTCTCCATCTTTGGCTCATAGAAACCCACTTGGCCGGCATCAATACTGCATATCTTATTTTGGGTTGCAGGAGAAAAGGAAGAAAGCTGCAGAAGGACAAAAGAATGCAGAGGAAGATACAGAGTCCGCTGCAAAAGGAGAAAAGGAGGAGAGAGTGATTACCCTTCGGCCGTTGAACATGGAAGACTTCAGGCAGGCTAAGAACCAGGTAGGTTAATTTCCCTCTTCTGTTTTCCTTTTGCTCTACTGTGAAGAATACTGAGAAAATGCACACAGCCATTTATTTTCTGCTGATCCGTGGTGTTGAAATGCAAATGCAGGTTGCAGCAAGCTTTGCGTCAGAAGGATCGATAATGGCGGAGTTAAAGCAGTGGAATGACTTGTATGGTGAAGGTGGCTCGAGGAAGAAGGAGCAGCTCTCCTACTTCTTGTAATACTAATGGTTTATCCATCCACTAACCAGAAAAGAACTAGGGGGTTAGTTCTGTGCAAGCCAAGAATATGGCTTTTTTAAAATACTGTAAAACATTAAGAGTTAAGACTAGTATGTATGTATATAGATGATGAATGTATTCAGGAAGATAGAAAGGGCAATCAGATAAAAGTCTGCAGGCAGCTCCCTCACCTTTTGGGGAATAAGATGAGCTGAGCCGTGTCAGAGACCAATTTTGTTTGCTGTTCTTCTGTTGTTTTCGTTATTGTTGTTGTTGTGTTAGAACTCTCTCATAGTTACTTGTTCAAGCATTTATGGAACTGAACTCTGCTCTCTGTTCAACTTTGGGACGAGAATCATGCTTTCTGTTTCCAGCAGAAGGTAGTACAACGTCCAACTTGAGTAAACAGAATATTTCCTGTTAGTTTCTCAGAAAGCGAGCCGTGGATACGTAACAATTACATCAAGCCTGCCCCTTTTCACCACAACAGCTCAAACAGCCGGTGCTGAACTCTAGGCTGTCGAGTTCTTGGAACAGAGACTTCACAACAGAAGCATGAAAATGGAACCCACAATTTCTTGAAACGACCATCCGCACAACTCTGGCCTCGACTCTCTGCATTTCGTCTATCTAGGTGGAAAAGCAAACAGGCCACATGTGGTAACTGTTCCTTTACATCAACCCTTCCCTCTTCTGGCAAATCCAACTTGCTACTTTCCCCTTCACCCAACGGTCAACTTACCTTCCACAGTAACACCAACCATTTAACAACAAACAAAAACAAAATAAAAACTTGAACGAGCCAACCAAAAGGCCAGCTTACAGATAGATTATCTGTGAAGAGAAAACTATTTCTATTTCTCAAAGTGTGCATCATTGAATCCTATTCATTCTTGAGAATACCAAAACAGGGGCTCGTGAATACAGAGAAGAAATTAACTTCATAATCTCATTCTTGCACAAATTACATCCTTACCTTCAACACCATGATGTTTAGATTAAGATTAGGACGACAGGAGCACGTGGGAGCTCTTCGTGTCTAAAACACATAGAGCGGCTCCACGAGTGGAGCTTACGCACTGCCGGCTCAGCTGTAAAGGAGCTCAATTAAACTCTAAAACCCAGATTGATCATCAGTTTGCTGTATTAGAACACAGCTAATGTGAAGTGAATTCAGATTTGACAATGATCGAAGCACCATTAGAAAGTAGAACCCCAATGTAGAAGCAGAGAATTTCCCTAGACAAAGAGGTTTACCAATTAAAACTACAAGCTGCTTAAGCATAAAAGTATAAGGCAACAGAAGTATTACTTCCCCACGTTCTCTCATTCCACATTCTACAACCCAACAGACCAACCAACCTAAAAGGCAAACAGAGGGGGGAAGAAATAAGCAAGGGGGATGATGATCTATGCAGTAGTACCGACCAGAGTTTTCCACAAATAACTCCCTTCACAAAATACGGGCTAACAAATCTTGTGTCAGTAACTCAGAACTCCAAGGAACAAAGCACACAACTTTAGAACCGCCCCACTCAAATCATCTAAGCCTTCTTCTTGTCCTTCAATGGGCCTTTGGGGATCTTACTTAGCACCTTCGCGTCAAACACTGCCCACTGTTTCTTGATCTCGATCCATGCCTTCTCACCGACGTCATCCACCTTGTCTTCATACTTCTCATAGAACACTGGGACTGTGTGGAGCAGCACGAAAACTGCACGCGGGTAACAAATCACGACATGTTCAGAACCCCACGACACATATGTTGATTCCTAATGCACTTGCGAAAATCAAAGTATGGTTAGGTGAGTGCGTTACCTATGTAGAACAAAGTCAAGAAGTTGCAGCAGCTCCCCACGATAGACAAGACCCACAAGCCAGCAATTATCTGCTCACACATAAGCAGTCCTATAGTTAAGTGGCTGCAACCGAAGTTGAAGCAAGCTAGAACCCAAATGAAGCGAATAAGAAGAACAGTGCAAACATGATAACTTACAGCAAGGAACTTCTTCAGATCCCTTCCAGATGCAATTTCACGAAGAGTAGCCAACCCACAATTGATCTCGTTCCTAAGCGCAGCAGCAACTTGCAGAACTGGGTCTTCAGGGATGTGAACTTGTGGAATGCGTGGAGGGGTCCTGGAGCAAAAACAACACCACAGTCAGCTAAGCAAATCATGAAATACCTTCCACAACCCAAGATATTCGTCTGAAGTATGTAGCATGACAAGGCCATACTTGTTAATAAAGGCGGAGGCATTGGACCACAGAAACAAAACAGCCAGTGCAAGGATCAAGGCATGGCAAACCAGCGTAAGAAGGTGGTACTCGAGCAATTCAAAGAGCACCCACGCAGCAGTTGCGCCACCAAGCACTCCACCGGAGATCTTCTTGTTCCTCCACAGGAAAACATCCGCAGCTATTTACATGACAACACACTCATTTCAGATGAAATTGCCCAATTAGAGCTATTTTGGACTAAGGCATATAAAAAGCAAGGGATCAGTTGTTTGTGGGAGGATGATTAGGGCAAACACAAGGCAAACTAAAGCCAGCTTTTCAGACGAACTAATCGCATCATGGATCCAAAAGGTAAAAGCAAGTAAACGTAATTAATTAACCTTAAAGCAAATGACACAGATCTAAAAGTACAGAAAAAGAACCAGATCTGCTCGTCCACAACTACCATGGGCAAGGGAAAATCAGTCCTCCAAAATTTCAAGCTCAGAGCATGACAATCAGTACCTTACAATTCACTACAGCAGGCTAAAATCACAATCACCTCTCCAGAGATCCGATCAAGCGAATTGAAGCTCGACTCTAGAATAATTTCGATGCACGAAGCATAAAAGATGCAACACAAGCACTGAGCATTGGAAATGGAGTAATGATAATCGAAGAACCAGGTGGGATATGGAGGGGAACCTACGTTTGCCACCACCGAGAACCTTGTGAACCGGCTTCTCGCGGCCAAAGAGACGATTGATTTTGGACTTCATCGACGACGGAGAAGACAGCGAGGACGACTTCTTGGGATGGTCGTCGTGATCGGAGTCGGACGACGACGAGGACGAATCATCGCCTCCGTGGATCTTGTCCGCTATCTTCTCCATCAGTGACTCCTCCTTCTTCTCGTGATGCTCAGCCATGGCGATTGATTGCTGCCAAAAAACCCTTCAAAAACCCTAAGAACTCTCCCGAAGCAGCAGGTAAAGGAGAGCGGAGAACACGCAGCAGACGTGAATGGAAACTTTCTCTTCTTCTTTCCTTTTCTTCTCCTTTCCTTACCTCTGAATCTTTCTCTCGCTATATACTTGGCGAAACGAAAGGCGCCTGGCGTTTTTCGGGCACGGATTCAGATCTTAGCCGTTGAAATCCAGAAAACTTATCTGGACCGTCGATTGGTTCGGTGGGGACCCGAGGCTAGTAGGTTCGTAAGTGTTAGCAGGGCGGGTCAGGTTTTTACAAGACCGAGGATTGACGCCGTCCAGAAATTTTTGGCCGACTCCGTTAACTTGCGACGTTGAGAGCTCCACGTGTCTTTTCGTTTGTAAAGGGGAAGTAGCGCGTACAGCTAGGGTGCACCGGAATGACTCCATCTACCCTATAGGCTCCTGCCACGTGGTGGTTTATCTTTCAATTATCACCATCTTTTTCATTGGCTATGATGGATTCATTTTGATACTCTTCTACTTCATTTTCGTCGAGGATAAAGCATGGGCAGAGAATTCCAAAGACTTAATCGCTAAGGAGAAAGAGCCCTAGAAATGTCATTTCCCATAGGGTGATGAATCTTAGGACACAAGAAACAATAAGCAAGTCAAAATGCATCATAACGGATGACTTTCAAACTTTCAAACCACCCAAAACATGACTCTTTGCTTAGCTCCTAGTGCAATGGACACACCCACCTCCTGCAAGTATTCATTTGCCGAAAATAAACGAGGAAAAGCGAAAAACAAGATGATTATGTCTCTAAACAAACTTATACGGTTTAATTATAATCCATAATGCAAAACTCGTCGTATCTCTGCTCGACTTTGTGGTGATTGAATACAAAAGATTCTTTGCAGTTCTAAGTACCACAGATGTTCAGGTCATGAATTGGAAAGATGATTCATTATAGAAAGTTGGAGAAGTCATGAGGAGATCATGACAGTGACTCAAAGGTAGCAAGATGGACCTTATATCCTTTGCCTGATCAAGATGAAAATGCAATGGATCTAAATCTAACCCATTTCACTGTGTAAGTGAACCGACCAACCACACTAAGTTATGGATTCATATCTCTTCCAAATACCCACCAAGGAAATGTTCTCCTTTTTCACCCCCAAGTAGGTCCGGGTATGGGGGACAAGGAGCATTGGTTCAGGTCATTCTGGTATACGCCACAAGGAAAATGAAGAATTCAGTATGAAGACAGCAAGAAAGGCCTGAAATAAGGAAAAAGAACACTTTAGAAGAGCTACTTTTGCTTGCACAGGTAATAACAACACAACAAAATGGTTTTGGTGGCCCTATATCCTGCTTCACTACTCCAGGTCCCAAGATAATAAGAAACAACCAAGTGCAGACAAGTAACAAAACTATTCCTATGAGTAGGCCCAGTTAAAATGGTTTTTTGAAGATGATTGCTTCTTTATATTTACAGACAGCAACAATGGACTTAAAGAAAAACCTTACAGCTCAAGTCATAATCACGATGTGAGGCAAGAAAGTAACAGGCACCTAAGCTACCTTTTTTCTCACCTTTGCCAAGCTGGTCTTGCCGGTAATACATGCTGGACTTCCAAGGTATGAAGCTCTCGAACTAAACAAGTATGCACACAAAGGGGAAAATCTCGGGGAATAGATAGGCTAGAGATGCAGCATGTCCTGCACTAACTTTGTCCATGGATTTGAAAAGATAGGGATCGATAGTACCCAGGATGGTAACCTTGGAAAAGGAAATCCAAGTGAGTGGAGAAAAGGGAAAGATGATGCATAATGTGTTAATGAGGTATTGAGATGTGCTTTGTGTGGCAACTTGAACGAGTTATGAAGTCCATTCATTGACAGCACAAGCTGAACCACAATTGTCACAGTGATGCTGATATGAAAACAGCAAAGAAGAAACTTTGCAACTCTGCTACTCCACTTGCTTTTTGCTTGAGATTTAACTTTTGAGCCCAATTGAGGTTGAGAGCATTATGGCTACCTGGTGATCGAAATCCAAACTACAACCCTTCGAAACCTAAGAAGTAGCTTCACTAAGTACTAAAACTTGCTGTGCTTGTGCTTGATATTTCCATTGCTATTTTAGGCTGAACCTAAATGTAGACCAGTCCCATAAAGCTACCACACAAAATCATCACATATACAATCAGTGGAACGAGGGAAAATCTCAGTGATTGGTAGAAGGACCATCCTAACACATCCCATTTCAACAGCCAAAAACTACTAAATTCGCCCCCGTAGATCATCAACGAAACACTGCTGGGGGCATTGCAACTTGCAGGCAGAACTGTCAAACAACAATCCTCCAAGTTTACAACTTTACTAATCAATCTCAACCCACCCATTGTAGGAAATTATGCCAATTCTCCAAAACAATCAGCCTAAAGCAATCAGATTCAGTACAACAGCAAGGAAAGAACTATGATAGGCTGAATAAATGAATAAAGGGCCACAAGCTGATCATTATTCACATACGGAAGGGAAAACCAAGTTATGCTGTAAAGTGCACAGGACAGCAAGGGAATGAAAAAGGTAAGAAGGGGTTAGCTTAGCTTTAGCTAGCTCGCTTGCTGGCATTTTTTTACTAATCTCCAGCATAAAAGCGAGAGCAACCTTGAACTAAATGAAAGTACGCATCCCCTACGCCGTGATTTCGAGGATCGCCGGCCACCGGCGAACGGGGGATGGGTTGCTAACCGTGTAAAAGTCCCTGAAACAAGTCAACAACTCGACCTCAGAAGCAGAATATCCGTTAGGTGGTCTAAAATCCCCATCTCTGGAGAGACGCTCAATTGGAAAGGAAGTGGGCCGATTTAGTTCGGGATTACTTCCGAGAAATGGGAGAGCCTGCTTGGCCCGGTTGAAGGTGATGGACGAGATTTGTAATTGAAGGCCCAAGTTAGTCTCTATGTAGCTTGGGGCCCATTGTTTATTGCGGGCCCGCGTTTTTTGCTGTTCAGAAAAATATACAACAATCCGTTGAAAACTTGAAATTATATCAGGAACAGGAAGACCTAAGGGGCTAGAATGAATCTTCACTTTTTCAAAAAATGTGTATTTAATTTTTATCCATTTGGTCATAACTGAACGTTGATATAGTTGATGTCATTGAGATTCACCATGCAATGAGTGTGTTTTTTGGTTTTTTCATATATTTTACTAGCAAATATCTTTGAGTATCTAATAACTTTTTTTTTTATTACTAGTATCTAATAACTTGTTTGCTTGGTTGCTCCAGTTCATAATCAAATTAGACAGAAAAAAAAAAGTTAAGTATCATACTCATATAAAATATTCATTCCATCCAGTATTATTCACTTCTGATTTAATATATAGTTCTTACGTCATAGCTAGTAGTGGAGTCATAAATCTAAGTAAGAAGAAGTTGAAAAAATAAAACTTGAGAATTATATTTCTAATGGTTCAAAAGTGGCTTAAATCCACCAAACTATTATATTTCTCACATTTATATAAAGAATTTCATATTAAAAGAGTTATGACTCTTTATCCTATGATTTATTTAAAATGATTGTTGGTGTCAATGATCAAACTCAAAATGTGATGAATATTTTCATCATCTCTTGGATTACTCTACCTTTTTTTTAAGTGGTTGCACAACCCAGTTTATACTTTTCATTTTTTGCTAAACAAATCTATTGAAAAAGCCATGAAAAATAGCACCTAATTAAAAACAAACAAACAAATACACCTATGACGAATACTTTCACACATGCAGCCGAGAAAATATACGACGTCCCCCGAGAACTAAGAACCAACCCGCCTTTCACACTCCTCCAACACACCTTTTTATTCCCCCCACAAGATCCCCCGTACTCTTTCACCGTCGCACCCGAAAATGGAAACCCACCACCACCCACTCCTCTCCTTCCTCCTCCTCCTCCTCCTCCCTTTCTCCTCACACGCTTTGCCTCTCTCAACCAACAACCGCTGGATCGTCGACTCGGCCACCGGCCAGCGAGTCAAGCTCGCCTGCGCCAACTGGCCCGGCGCCGCCGAGACCATGCTCCCCGAGGGCCTCGACCGGCAGCCGCTCCCCAACATCGTGGCCGCCATCCGCCGGCTCGGCTTCAACTGCGTCCGGCTCACCTACGCCACGTACATGGTCACCCGCCACGCTGGCGACCGGGTGGGCCGCACGTTCGACGGCCTGGGTCTCGGTTCGGTTAAGGACGAGATTGCTAGGTTCAACCCGTTGGTCGTGCGGATGACTCACCTCCAGGCGTTCGACGCCGTTTTGGACGAGCTCGGCAGGCAGGGCGTGATGGTTGATATTGATAACCACGTCAGCAAGCCGATGTGGTGCTGTAGGGAGAAGGACGGGAACGGGTTCTTTGGCGACGAGTACTTTGACCCGAAAGAGTGGTTGCTTGGGTTGACCATCCTCGCCCGACGCTACGTCTACAAACCTCAGGTGCAGAATCATGTTAAGACTTTTTACGTACACGTAAATTGTTTAAATCAAACGTCAAATTACACGCACGGAATTAACTTTGTTATAATAACCAAAATCAAATTAACAGTTGGACTAGTAGAATCAGTAAACCATGTATAATACGAATAGTAGTTCGTGTAATTCGATCGGACGATTAGAGATGGGTAGAACGGTTTTTAACTGGTTGACGTGAAACCAAATGAACTGTCCCAATTTAACTGGTTCATTAGTACACTATTTTAAACACAAATATTTTTAAGAAAAAATGCATTAACGTGAGCTAAGACCTTCCAACCTTAATCACTAATTTTATTTATGTCTATTTTTTCATTTTCTAGCCTACTTGTCAGATACATTTGGTTCATTGTGGATTGTCACTCTTTTTACTCACTTGAATCTAATAGAAATTTATGATTCCTTTTGTAAGATAGTTTGAATGCTTTGTTAGAATTTTTTCTATCAGATGATATGAGTTTGAATATTTTATAGTTAGTGACAATTTCAGTCCTAATTAAATGAGTGTATTATACAAGTATAATAACGGTTACTCAACCATTTTATAACGGTTAATAATTGAACGGACAACCACTCATTTTTACGGTTCCGCCTCCGGATTCTGAAAACATTTTGGAAATAAAACTTGTGAACAGGTGATAGGGATGGGGCTGAGGAACGAGCTGAGGGGTGAAAGGCAGAGCGAGGCCACGTGGCGGAAGTACGTAACCCTAGCAGGGAACGCGATCCACGTGGCGAACCCTAACGTGCTGATATTCGCCGGAGGGATAAGCTACGCCTCCGTGCTGTCTTTCCTAAAGAAGAAACCATTGAGCACAACTTTCGGGAACAAGCTGGTGTACGAGTCACACTGGTACCCGTTCACGGCCGGGCCGGAGAAGGTCTGGACGGAGAAGCCGCTCAACCAGCTCTGCCGTGCCAAGATCGACGGATACGTCAATACGACGGCGTTCTCGTTCACGGCCGGCGGCTCAGCTGCCGTGCCGTTGTTTGTCGGCGAGGTCGGGATACCTGGGACGGAGGTGAAGAAGTCGAGCGACAACTTTTTGTCGTGTTTCGCCACGTGGGCCGCGGAGAATGACCTGGATTGGGCCTGGTGGGGATTGCAGGGCGGGTATTACTTCCGGGATAATAGGACCGGAATGGATGAGTATTTTGGGGCCTTGTCTTACTTCTGGGACCGGCCAAGGAACCCTTTCCTCTTGAACAGGCTCCGGTTGATGCAGCTCAAAAACCAAGGTAGAGAGTCACCTTCTCTCATATATTCTTTTATCTTTATCATATTTTGCAGTATGACAACGCTAAGAACATGAATAATACGTGATCTCAATGATAAAGCAATTTTTATATTATATTATAAATTAACTTGTCCTAATAACTCAAGATTAGTTGGTTTATGACATGATATAATAAGTGACTTGTTTTTGAGGTCACAAATTCAAGTCCTCACAACCCAAAATTAATCGTTATATTAAAGCATGGTGATGACTGGTGTACGTCAGGCGTATACTATATGCCAGGTGATCTATTCGTTAGATGTATTTAGATGAGCTCCGGCCGATCTCAACGGTCAATTTTTGTTTTTCATTAAATCAAACTTCGGGTTGGGGTTTAGAAAATCGGTGTCTGGGGTTTATCCATTAGAGGTTAGGGTATAGGATCACACCCCAAACTCGATTTAATTCATGGTCTAGATAGAGATATCTCACTAGTAGTACCTGACGTATAGTATACGTCTGGCGTACGCCAGTCTGACCCATTAAAGCATATGTGATATGTTACGTGCAAACTTCAAGACGATGAGTTGACTTTCACTGAAGGTAACGTGTAAGAAATTTGTTAAATACCAATGTACTATATATGGATTTCTTTCAATAATTCAAATTATTGAGATCGTTTAGTTTACGATGGGCTGGAATTAATATTAATGTCGTATTATGTTATAGATCCGACTTCACGAGTGGGGAAAGCGTACTTGCTGTTCCACCCGCAGACGGGAGACTGCATGATCAACAACAACCTTAGGGAGATCTACGCCGGGCACTGCGGGCGGCAGAGCAGCCGGTTTCTGTACGCCGGAGACGGGTCGCCGATCATGTTGGCCGGCAGCAACTACTGCCTAAGAGCCGGCGGGGACGGGGTTAGGGTTCAGCTGACGACGGCGTGCAACGCGCCGGAGAGCAAGTGGTGGAGGGTGTCGAGCTCCAAGCTTCATCTAGCGGCGAAGGAGGAGAAGACGGGAGAGTATCTTTGCTTGAATCGGGATTCGGTTTTCACGTCGGATGTGTTCACTAGGAAGTGCGTGTGCCTGGTTGGGTATGAAACTGGGTGCATGAATGGAGGGGATTTGGAGCCTACTGCTCAGTGGTTCAGATTGGTCGAGACCAATGTTCTTTATACTAACTAAACTAGTGCTTGTCACTAGCCCATAGCGTAATATTAATCTCCAGGGAGTTACTTTAATTTTGGAATTAATGGTATAAATGTTTCGCTACCATAGAACTAGGTCAGCGGCGAATCCAGAACAGGTTAGAGCATTGGGCTGCATTAAAAAAGTGATGGAGAGTGATGAGCCGTAACCCAACAAACACTAAAATATATACCCAAAATAAAAAATTTACAAGTAGAGCTTTGGATCTGAGGAGGGCTGGACCGTGGCCTGATGACGGCCCCTCCCTAGATCCACTGCTGAACTGTACTAGTTTTTTTTCTTCATAATATATCCTTCAAATATAAACATTTTCCTGTTGTTACCGTTGTTGTAAAAAGACCGTTAATCTTTTGTTGAATGAGGACACGATTACTCATTGGACACATCTAATTAGGCGTTGACTCAATCAAAAAACCATGTAATTTCAAAGTTAATTACGATTGCTATTTTAATTCTTTTTCAGTTTTGATAAAAGATAGGTTGATTTGTTGATTTTGATAGGAATTTGTATCAGTAGGGGTTAAAATTATGGAAGAATATTTTTGTAATTATGATCAATTTTTTGCACATGAGCCTTGAGTAAATGCTTAGATAGATCACAATTTAACACGAGTAATGAAATTTGAGCGTTAAGGGGCATATTAGAAAAAATTATGTATTTTAACCACCATGGTAGGGAAATAAATAGTTTATGAGCTATGATAGGGAAAACACTATTATAGTTCAGGGGCCAGAAATGAGACTAACTCTTAAATTTCTTACCCTTTATTCTCGAAAATGCACAATATGATCACTTGAATATAATGTAACATTTATTTGTGTACATTGTTGGTTTTCACACATCCTAATGATCAACTAATAAAAATATTTGAATATGATCAAACAATGACATAGTTTTATCATCGCTTCTTATTACATTATTTATACGAAATCAAATAAATTGATCATATCAAAAGTGTAATATGTTTATTGTCAAAATTGTGATATAGACATACCATCCACATAAATCCCTTCAAAATAATAAGACGAAGAATGAACAAGAGTAGGCAAGCATCGAGTTTAATTTGTTCTCATTGAATTAAATCTACAATTCATGTTACATGACTTGAAATAGTTAACAAACTGGGAAAACCCAACATGAGATACCAACAAATGAAACAAAAACAAAGTAATCAATCAAATGATTCAAGCTCCAACACAAGGAGATTGAGCAAAATGAATAATTGGAATTGATGAAGCAAAATAAAAATCGAATTAATAGCCACCGGCGGGGACTTTGTTCATGGTTGGTTTATGCTCCGAAGTATAGAAGAAAGGCCCAACTGAATATAACTTGAGGTGCTTATCTTGCAGAATGCGATGAGAAGACAGCGGAAAACCGTCGATTCCTCTGTTCACATTGCTTGGGACTCCACATTCCTCCATTGGGGATTGCTCGAGGAAAGCCTTGCAGTTCTCCCATGAATTCTTCTTGTCATCTTTGTTAGAAGGTAGCGTCTTGAAGAAATAGCCCTTGGCATTCGTTGGACTGGATGGAGTCTTGTCATCATCATATCCTTCCTCGTTCACTTTCAAACACGTGATTGTCACTACGGCTCCTGATGAAGCGGTTCAAATACGAAAAATCACACAACTATTAGAATACGAAAAATCACATGACGAGCTCGATCTTGTACGTGGGGGCGAGGAACATCATAGCAATATTAGGTGTAATAATTAAGTTACCTTTGATGGGGACATATCCGGAGGATGATTTGCAGATAACTATCCCTTCAACGGCGGCAGGAAAAGCTTCTTCTGGCTTTGGGATGCTTAGTTTGGGCATTTCGTAGTGTGGGTCTGCTTTGGGTTGAGATTTTGAACCTTCTCCAGCGCCATAGCTAGCGTCTTTTCTCAGAATTGGCTTTACCGATTCTTCTGGTTTAGGCATTGACTGAGCAACTGGCTTCTCGTATGATCCAGGCTGAATTTTGGGTTGAGTTTTTGGAGCTTCGGAGCTGGAGGAGTAATCATCGGCGGCGGAGGCTCCCACGAGTATCATGGACAAGAGAAGGACACAAACTCCGCCGACGAAAGGGTTAGAAGCCATTTGGACTCTTCTGTAATATAATGTGAGACTTATTGGTGTTGTGTTGAGAAGAAAGCAAAGAGGAGAATAGTGGGGATCGGAGTGTGATGAGAGACCAACATTTATGCCGTGATCTATATATATAGGATGTTGGTTTCGATATTTGGAAGAAAGCTGAAATTTAGTTGAAGACGTGACATGTGGGAGGTAAGTTCATGCGACGTGAGGAGCAAAAAGAAGTCCAGAGAGATCCCATGAGAATGCATATATACATATATGCATGAGTGGCACGTTGGAACTGAGTTCTAAATAAGGCAAGCATGTCAATCAATAATATCCCCATATATGTAATGTACAACCATATATGGATAGGATCATAGGAAGATCCTTCGTGTGCGGTTTGGTTGTCCAACTTATATAATGATATTGATAATAGTGCTTTCTCTCACCTTCAGGAACATATGGGTTAATTAACAAATATATGTGTTGTTAGAAGACCATCATTGTTTTTTTCTTTTTTTGACAAGCTAGAAGAAATGTAATATCGCAAACATTTTTCTGACTATATGGTTTGTTTTTGGTTTAGATCCGTATGGATTTTGTTTTGGGGTGTATATTAAGGTGACATTTTAAAAGGTCACGCAGTCTTGCATTGCTTCACAAGAAGCATGTTTAATCTCGGAGTTTTTTGAAGAATTTTTTCCATTTCACTCCAAAACGCGTCTAATCAATTAAGGTCGGTTTCTTATATAAAAATCATGAATCTTTTTCATGCTTTATCTAGGTGTGATTTGGCTAAGGTAAGAACTTTGATTGACTTTTTATTGGAAGGTATATTTATTAACATGTCAGACCAACAGTAGTATATTGATGGATGTGGATTTTATATGATAACCGCGCGGTATTGGATCGACTAGCTAGTCGGAACATAAAATTTGTGTATCATCTTCAAAGTGATCATGTGAAATTTTGTTTTGGTCGATTTGATTCAGTTAAATAATTGCAAACTAATGACATACTGGTCGATATGGGTTTTATTGAAAACGAGACTACAATTATTTATTATGGTTAATTTAATCAATTTCAATTATATAGTGAAATATAAATATGGTGACTTCCAAGTCATCGGACTTGAACAAAACATTCGATCGAATAATATAATTACAATGATACTTAACCATTATAAATGATAAAATGATCAGCCTATATTTTGTGGTCAACCTAATGATGAAAAGGTCGATGTTCTAAAATAAATTGGTTAACCGCACCATGAAAAGGTTGACTGGTTAGGGTTAAAATTATCTTCATGCATCAATTCAATGTCGTAGAAAGTGCTTTAAAAGACAACGAAAATCTTCATTGCGCCTGAAAGTTCGACAAGGCGGTGTTGTCGACCTGTTGATCTACACATATTTCACCAACAACTACCTTTGATGTCCCAATATCTTTTCTTCTTCGCCAAACTCAAAAGCAAGAAATTTTTGCTTACGCGATTTTAGAGTGATAAATTAATACCGTAGAGTGATAAATTAATACCATAGATTATTATTTATAGAAGATTGTGTTGCTATTAACTTGAGTTAAGTGGTAGCCAAGTCCTAATTAAGTGGTACAATTGATTTATGGGTTATGGGTATAATATGCCCCTCTACTATGACGTTTTATCAAACATGCCCCTCTACTATTTTTTACATCAAATATGCCCATGTACATTGAAAAAATTATCAAACATGCCCTTCTGTTAAAATTTCCATTGAAAAAATCGTCAATCATGGTTGAATTGAGATTTAGACGACCCGACATCAACAAATGGGAGGAAAAATGTCAGTTTTGTCCCCTGTCTTATTTCCCTGTGTCTTTTCAAAGTGAAATTATTTGAATGATTTGATTATATAAAAGAACCAAAAAGATTCTAAAGTGAATTTATTAGGGATATTTTAGTCATTTGTGTCGCCCAAACTAAAGTTCGGCGTTGGTTAACGGTTTTTGGATTAAAATTTTAACAAAAGGGCATGTTTGATCATTTTTACAAAGTACAGGGGCATGTTTGATGTAAAAAATAGTAAAGGGGCATGTTTGATAAAACGTCATAATAAAAGTGCATATTATACCTATAACCCTTGATTTATCTAGTCAATTGTTTTCCAGAAGCAATTAACGGTTTTTGTTTGCAAAATATTATGATCATTGTTTTGTGAATTCTTGGTTATGGTTAAATCGAACATATCGTTGCCCGACCACCAAATTGAGTAATTTAATAACTTTATAAAAATTCATTGCCCGCCTACTCTAACCCACTAAGACACCAACCCAACCCAACGTCTGAAGGAGAGTAAGAAAAGCATTGAGAATTCTTCTCATTGAAATTGAAACGAAACCGATACCAATTAATCAAATGAAAATCAATCCAAGCTCCAAAGTAAATTTTGTTGCTAAGATCACATAATTGAATAAGAAATTAAAGCCAAAGAAACAGAAAATGAAGCAAGTAAAATTTGTTGAGCACATAACCCAAAACTCAGGGCCACGCAAAGAAAAAAATTAGTAGCCACCACCGGCGGCGGGTGCTTTCTTCACGGCTGGTTTAGGCTCAGCAGTGTAGAAGAAAGGCCCAACCGAGTACAACTTGAGATGCTTCTCTTGAAGGATGTGGTTAGAAGATAGCTTGTAACCATCGATTCCTCTGTTCACATTGCTTGGTACTCCACATTCCTCCAATGGAGATTGCTCGAGGAAAGCCTTGCAATTTTCCCACAAATTTTTGGCCTTGTTGCTAGAAGGTAGAGTCTTGAAGAAATAGCCCTTGGCATCGGTTGGACCGGTCTGACACGACACTGGAGTCGTTACATATCCTTCGTCGTCCTCTTGCAAACACGTAATCCTCACCACGGCTCCTGAAAATTGTTCAAATATCATTAGAATGCAATAATTAGAATGAAATTTAATGAACTTAGTGTCAAGAACCAGTTGCTCCCAATAACTCGAGTTGTTGAGAGAAGTTCAATCGTGGATCATATACAACAACACTAACACTTAGAGTAGGTATAATGTAAGTTTACCTTCGATTGGGACATATCCAGAGGGTGATTTGCAAATGACAGTCCCTTCAACTGCGGCAGGAAAAGCTTCTTCAGGTTTTGGAATGTTTAGTTTGGGCTTCTCATAGTGTGGGTCCACCTTGTAATTGGGCTTCGAGTCATGGTCACTAACTGACTTGACTGGCTTCGAGTCGTAGGACTCTGTTTTTGGATCCTTTTCCATTGCGGGCATCTCCGATCCTTCTGGTTTGGGCAACCATTGAGCAGCAGGCTTATCGTAGGATGCAGAATGGATTGTGGAATGAGGCATATCAGGAAAATGGAAGTCTGGCTTCTCGATGGGCTCGTTGTGCTGAAATTCGGGCTCGTCATAGGACTCTGTTTTCGGGTCTTTTTCCAATGCAGGCATCCCTGATTCTTCTGGTTTGGGCACCCATTGAGCAATTGGCTTCTTGTAAGATTCAGTGTGGAGTTCGGGATGAGGCATGTCGGTGAAATGGAAATCCGGCTTTTCGATAGGCTCATTGTGTTGAAATTTGGACTCGTCGTAGGACTCTGACGACTTTGGGTCTTTCTCCAACACGGGCATCCCTGATTCTTCTGGTTTGGGCACCCATTGAGAAACCGACTTGTCGTCGGATTCGGAATGAGTTTCGTGATGAGACAAGTCGGGGAAATGAAAATCTGGCTTTTCGATAGTCTCGCTATGTTGAAATTTGGGCTCGTCGTATGACTCTGACTTTAGATCTTTTCCCAACTCAGGCATCCCCAATTCTTCCGGCTTGGACACCGATGGAACAATTGGCTTCTCGTAAGACTCGGAGTGGACTTCCGGATGGGACATGTCGGGGAAATGGAAATCCGGCTTCTCCAAATCTCCACTATGTTGAAACGCATGCTCATCGTAGGACTCTGATTTCGGATCGCTTTCCAACGCTGGCTTTCCCGATTCCTCTGCTTTAGGCATCTTTTGAGCAACTGGCTCTGGCTTGTCGTAAGACGATGCAGACGACGGAGCTTTGGATTGCGGTTTCGGAACTTCTCCGGCGGCATTGGAGCTCGGGGAGTAGTCACCAGCGGCGGAGGCCCCCACCAGTATCATGGACAAGAGAAGAGCATAGAAATGGCTGACAGCCATCTCGACTTTGTTATATGGTGAGAAATTGGTGTTTTGTGGTAAGAAGAAAGAAATGATGAGGGGATGGTTGGGAGTTTGATGATTTGCCAATGTGTGCTGTGCCTTCTATTTATATGGGATGGAAGTAGGTGAGACGTGCATGGTTCAAGTTTATTGCTACCAATTCATTGCCATTGATGATTGAACCAATTATATATTGGTTTTCAGGCTGTTAGTTAATGAATCATGGTGATAGAGATTCGTGACACATGTGGGAGATAATTGAGTGCTGCGACGTGAAGAGCAGATACTTAGAGACTTAGAGAGACCACCTGAGAATGTGAGTGGCACGTTGGAAGATTATGTGGGGAACAGATTCATCAATCATTTCTATTTCACTTACGCAAATGGCATCACGGCCCGTAACAATTTTGACCTGATCCGTTTTATCCGATCTGTTTGGTCTGTTTTGGGTCGTGTTTGATCCGTCTCGTAACCGGAGCGGGGCGGACATGGGTACTCTCATCGACCCGACCTGCTATGACCTACCCCATTCTCAACCTGTTATTTTCTAAATTACATGTAATCTTAATCAAATTGCTTAGAATTTTCCTTTTATTACATTATATTTTAGCTATAATAAAGTTGTAAATTAATGAAAACCTCAATTTCTCTAATAATTTTACTATATTTATCATAATATGATTTGTTTTCTTTGTTTTATAATGAATATTTCTAATGTTTTCCATATAAATTGTATACTTATTGGGTCGACCTGCCCCAACTCACAACCCATAATAAAATATCTAATCTAGATCCGACCTGCCACGAGCGGATATGAGTAACGAGATACCGCCGAACATATACATTATCATTCCTACTGTAATGTCTCTATCTGGAATCCTGGGTGCATGAGAGGTTTTTATTATATAGCCCATACGAAGGGAGCCCATTGTACTTTATGTTGCATTAAACCGAGTAGTAGCCCGAGCTCGGCCCTAAACTTTTTATGTATATATGCAAAGCTTTCAAAATCTCGATTTAAATTATAAAATTTTACGGTTTTACGATTCTATTTACTTGTTTCGATTCTGATTTTACTATAAAATTTATGGACCTTAAAATCCTATACTATTCATGATTTAAATCCTTAAAATCTTTAAAATTTTGCGATTTTACGATTCAAATTTTTGAGTCAATTTTACTTTGTTTCCTCCAGAATTTGCAAAATTACGCCTAATTTCCTTCTCCTCCACCTACATCATCTAGTTTTCGCACACTAACCACCATTAACTATTATCAATTCACAGCAACGTATTAATCATAATCGATTCACCACTTCCCAACATTATCCTTGATAAATCAGAATATTAATCTTGAGAAATTATCATTTGTTATGTGTTGTTGTGTTATTCATGATTTTCCTTATTAATATTATTTCTTCTTCATTTTTTTATGGACCTTAAAATCCTACGATTTTACGATTCTGATTTTACATCCTTTATCGATTTTACTTAAAATCCCGATTTTTACTGCTATGTATATATGTACTATATAATAGACCATTAATTAGAAGCTAGATTGGATGAAAAAACTTGTGACTGTGCCTGAAAGGTTGATCCATCAGCCAGTATTGTCGACCTGTTGATCTTCACGAATCTCACCAACAACTACCTTTCATGTCGCGACATCTTTTCGTCTTCACCAAACTTAAAAGCGACAAAACATTGTTTATACGATATATTTTAGAGTGATAAATTAATAATACAAACTATTATTTATAGAGGTTTGTGTTGCTATTGACTCAACACACAGTGCTTTAATTAACCCACACCCAAATCGAATAATTTAATAACTTTTTCCAATTTCATTTCCCACCTACTCTAACCCACATGCATGATGCACCAACCCAACCCAACATCTAAAGGAGATTAATTAAAGCATTGAGAATTCTTCTCATTGAAATTGAAACGAAACCGATACAAATTAATCAAATGAAAATCAATCCAAGCTCCAACGTAAATTTTGTTGCTAAGATCACATAATTGAATCAGAAAGCAAAATCAAACCAAAGAAACAGAAAATGAAGTAAGGAAAATTTGTTGAGCACATAACCCAAAACTCAGGGCCATGCAAAGAAAAAATTAGTAGCCACCACCGGCTGCGGGTGCTTTCTTCACGGCTGGTTTAGGCTCCGGAGTGTAGAAGAAAGGCCCAACCGAGTACAACTTGAGATGCTTCTCTTGCAGGATGTGGTGAGAGGATAGCTTGTAACCATCGATTCCTCTGTTCACATTGCTTGGGACTCCACATTCCTCCACTGGAGATTGCTCGAGGAAAGCCTTGCAATTTTCCCACAAATTTTTTGCCTTGTTGTTAGAAGGTAGAGTCTTGAAGAAATAGCCCTTGGCATCGGTCGGACCGGTCTGACACGACACTGGAGTCGTTTCATATCCTTGGTCGTCCTCTTGCAAGCACGTAATCCTCACCACGGCTCCTGAAAATCGTTAAGAACTCTATAAGAATGCAATCATTAGAATGAAATTTAATGAAGTTAAAGTAGGTGTAAAGTAAGTTTACCTTCGATGGGGACATATCCAGATGGCGATTTGCAAATTACAGTCCCTTCAACTGCGGCGGGAAAAGCTTCTTCTGGCTTTGGAATATTCAGTTTGGGTGTTTCATAGTGTGGGTCTACCTTGTATTTGGGCTTCGAGTCGTGGTCACTATCTGGCTTCGAGTCGTAGGACTCTGATTTTGGATCCTTTTCCAATGTGGGCTTCTCTGATTCTTCTGGTTTGGGCAACCATTGAGCAACAGGTTTATCGTAGGATGCAGAATGGATCGTGGAATGAGGCATGTCGGGGAAATGAAAGTCCGGCTTCTCGATGGGCTCGTTGTGTTGAAATTTGGGCTCGGCATAGGACTCTGATTTCGGGTCTTTTTTCAATGCGGGCATCTCCGATTCTTCTGGTTTGGGCACCCATTGAGAAACTGGCTTGTCGTCATATTCGGAATGAGTTTGGTGATGAGGCATGTCGGGGAAATGGAAATCTGGCTTTTCGATAGCCTCGTTATGTTGAAATTTGGGCTCGTCGTAGGACTCTGACTTTGGATCCTTCTCCAACTCGGGCATCCCCAATTCTTCCGGTTTGGGCATTGATGGAACAACATGCTTCTCGTAAGATTCTGAGTGGACTTCCGAATGAGTCATGTCGGAGAAATGAAAATCTGGCTTCTCGACATCACCACTGTGCTGAAACCCATGCTCAACATAGGACTCTGATTTCGGATCGCTTTCCAACGTTGGCTTTTTCGATTCCTCTGCTCCTTTAGGCATCTTTTGAGCAACTGGCTTGTCGTAAGATGCAGACGGAGCTTTGGATTGCGGTTTCGCAACTTCTCCGGCGGCATTGGAGCTCGGGGAGTAGTCACCAGCGGCGGAGGCCCCCACGAGTATCATGGACAAGAGAAGAACATAGAAATGGCTGACAGCCATCTCAACTTTGTTGTGGTGAGAAATTGGTGTTTGTGGTAAGAAGAAAGAAATGATGAGGGCGGGGATGGTTGGGAGTTTGATGATTTGCCAATGTATGCTGTGCCCTCTATTTATATATGATGGAAGTAGCCTGCGACGTGCATGGTTCAAGTTTATTGCTACCAATTCATAGCCATTGATGATTGAACCAATTATATATTGGTTTTCAGGCTGTTAGTTAATGATGTTGAAGATATTGATCGATGAAGTTCCAGATCAGGGGAGGCTGTTGGTGAAGGCTGCTGAAGCTCTGCTAATCCGAATCCTTTCTGGAGAAGGAAAAGCGGCTGCACTGTGTCGTTTTAATTAGTTAAGTCTCAAACACTGAGACTGTGTCGTTTGGTCTTTTTCTATTTTAGTCCTTGTTTTTCTGTTTGAGTCTGTAAAAGCCAGTTTGGCTAAACTAGCCGTTAGAGATAGTCGTTGGTTGCAGAGTCAGTTTGTTAGGTTGCTTATTCTCAGGGATTGAGAGGTTAGAGCTGTTTAGCAGAGCCGATTCCAAAGGCTTCAGTTGAGAAGCTCATGTATAAAGCTCGATCTCAGTCGAATGAATAAATTGTCAGTTTGCATTCAATTTGATTTCAAATGAATCATGGTGATAATTAAGTGCTGCGACGTGAAGAGCAGATACGGGACTGGAGAAACCCCCTGATGAGAATGTGAGTGGCACGTTATGTGGGGAACAGATTCGTCGGTCGTTTCGTTTCTATTTCATTGACGCGGCAAATGGGATCACACCCTGTAATGTTTATGCTATCTCTATGTGATCGGATGCATGGGAGATTTTTATTATATAATGCGATCATTACAATTATTTACACCCTATTGTGATTTGTATTGCATTAACCGAGTTGTAAGGCCCTCTATGTGAACTAGCTCGGCCCTAGTCTCATGTTACTATGTTAGGGTTCTAGCAGCTAAATTATTGTGTATAAATGTACTATGTAATAGCGCACTATGACAATTAGAAACTAGGTTAGATGAAAAGAGAAGATAGCTTTTGTCCGGTACGTTGCTGGGTTGAATTCAGAAGGGGTGGTAGCCCTCTCAATTTTGAAATATAGTTATTACAAATAAATTTTGGAATTTCCTACGGTAACTTGAAGTAAGGTAACAAATTTTTTTACCTGCTATAGCAGGTTTCACAGGTCGTATTACGTAAAACACAATAGGCATTACGTAATGGTTACGTAACATATGATAATCTTACGTAACAGTTGTAAAAGATCATTACGGAAGCCTTACGTAATAGAATGTGTCTTTACGTAATGAGTATTAACCTCGCGTTACGTAAAATGCAAAGTCATTACGGAAGTCTTACGTTTACGTAACGCTACTGAATTAACTGTTACGTAAGAAATAAATGTCGTTTCGTAACCTTTACGCAATGGAAGGTCTTTTTACGTAATGAGTATTAACCTTGCGTTACGTAAAGTGTTAAGTCATTACGGAAGCCTTACGTAACGCTTCCGATTTAACTGTTACGTAAGAAATAACTATCATTCCGTAACCTTTACGTAGTGAATGTGTATTTTACGTAACGGTTGTAAAATATCATTACGGAAGCCTTACGTGATAGAAGGTCTCTTTACGTAATGAGTATTAACGTCGTGTTACGTAAAGAGCTAAGTTATTACGGAAGCCTTACGTAACGCTTCTAATTCAATAAGAATTAAAAAAGGAAAGGTTAAAATATGGAAAGACAACTAAATGTGAAAAAATTCAATAAGAATTAAAAAAGGAAAGGTTAAAATATGGAAAGACAACTAAATGTGAAAAAGGAAAGAAAAAATTTAAAAAGGTAACTTGGACATGTAGTGACCGGCAACTCATGTTGTCATTTATTTTTTTAGTTATTTTTTTAATTTTTTTAATCAATGGTTTAAAATAAGTGTGATCAATTTTAACGGTTTAGATCTATGCAAGTTACCTAACTTGAAAATACCCAAGTTACTATAGGAAATCCCATAAATTTTATACAAATTTAAGATTAGAATAATCGGTAAACTTTTAGTCCATTCTTCCAATCGTCTTTTGTTCGGTTAATGATCATTTCCGTTTTACTAACATTTGTTTTCTCCAAATATGATTTTGCTCAAGTATCAAAGAGAATCCACATAATATTGTAACAAACACGATTATCCAAAGAGAGATAAAGTACACAAGTGAACAGATTACACTAAACGTATCTAATATCCATTCGTTAAGGAAAAATGGGGAAACCACCTGATATCCACATCTAAACAATATCCCCTATATCCACGAACGTCGCCGAACCAACCTATATATATAAGCTATAGCTAGATAATTGTTTGATTAGTAACTAATTAAAGATCTAATTAAGATGGCTAAACCCTTTAAACCTCTCCCCTTTCTCTTCTTCATAATCTTCTCCTTCCTAGTCCCCACTTCACTCCCGCTCCCGCTCTCAACAAACAACCGATGGATCGTCGACTCGGCGACTCGGGAGCGAGTCAAGCTCGCCTGCGTCAACTGGCCATCCCACTTGGAAACCATGCTGGCCGAAGGCCTACACATGCAGCCGCTCCCGCGAATCGTTTCGTCCGTAGTCCGAAACGGCTTCAACTGCGTCCGTTTCACCTTCGCCACCCACATGTTCACCCGTTTCGCCAACCGCACGGTGGCCCAGTCGTTCGACGGGCTCAACCTGACCGAGGCCAAGGCCGGGATAGCCCACTACAACCCTTCCCTCCTGGGCCTGACCCTCGTCCAGGCCCATCAGGCCGTGGTGGACGAGATGGGCGCTCAGGGGCTCATGGTGGATCTCGATAATCACGTCAGCAGGCCCAGCTGGTGCTGCGCGGCCCACGATGGGAATGGGTTCTTCGGCGACAAGTTCTTCGATCCGCGGGAGTGGTTGGAGGGCTTGAAGATCGTCGCCAAGCTCTACAGAGACAAACCTCAAGTTGTGGCAATGGGCCTGAGAAACGAGCTCAGAGGCCCACGCCAGAATGCCCACGATTGGTACTACTACATGAAGAAGGCCGCAACGGAGGTCCACAGGGCCAACCCAAACGTGCTTTTATTCATCGGAGGGCTGAAGTACGCCAACGACTTGACGTTTCTGAAGCAAAAGCCGTTGGACTCGACGTTTGGGAACAAGCTGGTTTACGAGGCCCATTGGTACCCTTGGAGTTGGGAGAAGCAAACCGTTTGGACCGAAAAGCCGCTGAACCATCTCTGCCCGTGGAAGCTCAATTACTTCATTAACCAGACCGCTTTCATGAACACTCTGGACCGCAACCCGGTTCCGATTTTTGTTGGGGAAGTCGGGACGGACCAGAGAGGGTTGAACCGGTCGGGCGACTACTTCTGGTCTTGCTTCTTGTCTTGGGCAGCTGGGATGGATATGGATTGGGGACTTTGGGGTTTGCAAGGGAATTACTATTTGAGGGACAAGAACAAAACCAACGCTGAGGAGACATTTGGTGTGTTGGATTACTATTGGGGCCGGGTCAAGAACCCTTACTTGCAGAACCGGTTGGGTTTGATCAAGAGCAAGGTCCAAGGTATGTGTTACTATATGAAGTATTTACATGTGAATTGGTTTATGAATGATGAGATTTATGACTAGCAAAAACAAGAACCGGTCGGAGTTGAAATTTAGTGGGGTCTCATTTATGAATAAGTTTCTGAATTCAATTATAAATTACAGTTTCTTCAATATATTCAATCAAATAGTCATTCATGAGGTTGTCAGTTATTCAACTATGTAACATACTTTCGGTACAAATTATTAGTTGAAAATTGACCTCCCGATTGCTAGCTAGCTAAAATACGCGTTAATTTCTAAGTTGAGTTTTGATCTGACAGCTAAACTTTCATGATGGACTCGTAATTTTTTTTTTGTATTATTAGAAATATTTCGAATTTAGTTTCGATATGGACCGAACATAATTTTGACGATGATGACACACCGCAGACCCAACATCAACACATCGAACGTCCTACTTGATGTTCCACCCACAAACAGGGAGCTGCATGCAGGCCGCCGGAGACAGAGAAATCTACGCCGGAGACTGCAAGGCCAGCAACATAAGCAGATGGATACACGACGGAGATGGGTCTCCGATCAGGCTACAGAACCGGAGCCACCTCTGCCTGGAGGCCGCCGGCGATCTACAGAGAGTTAAATTCACAACCAACTGCAACAGCCCACATAGCACTTGGACAAGGATTTCCAACTCCAAGCTTCTGTTGGCTGCCAAGGACCAAAATGGGGGATACTTGTGCTTACACAAGGAATCTCGTTACACCAACAGCATTTTCACTAGGAGGTGCATGTGCCTTGGTGATCGTGGTGATGGTGAAGATGGTTGCCTTGAGATTGATTCTGATGATCCTGAGAAAGATCCCACCAGCCAGTGGTTTCAACTCGTCCAAACAAATGTTTAGAATGGAATTTTTTTTTGGTTAGACAACAATCTTGAGTAGGTTTTGTTTGGTCACGGAAATATTTAGCAAAGATTTCCTAAGAATAGGGGGGTGTGATATGGCATGTGCAATTATTTCAGGTTGGATAGTACTCTGGATGGTTCAGTTCTTGGCACTTTCTAATGGAGGGTTGTTGCTTAATTAATTGGACAGATTCTTCTGGTAGCTTAACCCAAATTCATATCTCTATTTATGAGACGTTGGCTAGTCGGTCTTAAATGACCAACTTGGCTAGTTGTTATGGCAGAGGACACAGATTATATTGGGTTTGTTGGAGTTTGGTTTAGTGATCATATCGGAGTTAATTTGATCGCTTTTAATTTTTTTTATGGTAATTGAAAATGCTAATTCAAAATTCATTGTTGCAAATTAAAACACGAGGAAGGTGATTATGTTCATACTTAATGACGACAGTCGAAACCAACTCGAATTCACTTTGTTCCCCCCCCCCCCCCCTATCCCCCTATTGTGTCGGATAAAATCTTGCTTGCATAACACTAGTGTAAATTAACATAAATCCATCACCCAACAACATTCTCATTGAACACTATTTAAAAGGGCAAACCTTAGTGATAACCATCCACTTCTTTGAAATCGAGATAAATTGACGCTAAAATGGAGGTAATATAATTGCACGGCCTAGCCTGCAATATTAAAGAGAGATGATAAAGGGTTTTTTTTAAGAGTGATATATTATATATTTTCCTTTTTGTTATTAAGTACTACTAGAGGGATTCAAAACTGGGACCTAGAATAGTGGTATTACCAGCAAGTCAGTCAGTTACCATTATACCAATCCTATGTTTGTATGATAATAGAATGCCTGGGACAGATTTCACTAAATCATTCTCATACCTATTTTCAAATGTTGAAACTCGTACTTGCAATTTTGGAGTACCCATTTACATAAAAAAATACGAGTTTTACGTATTTTCACACTGACTAAGTAGGATAGTCTGAGTACTCGCGGTTGTAGGTTTGATTGCAATCCTGGTAGGAGGGTGTAGGGGCCAACATTGAAGGCTAACCCAATGAATCCGAAACTACAATATTGTGAGCTTGATGAGGGCCTTAAAATTCCAACAAAAAGCAGGGCAGATAGTAAACAAAAGGGACCTCAAATCTTCTTTCCCATTTTAAATGGGGATCGTCCAGTCCAGGGCTTATATAGCTTTTGATGGTGTAGGGTGCGAAATTAGAACAAAAGTGGGAAGTGAAGCAGACAAGCAATAAAACTGGGGCCATCTCGTATCTCTTCTTTACGACCCAGAAAAAACAACTAAAGCTCGAGAGTGGCTGTGGGACTTGATACCTAGGAGCTAGAAAATGCCAAGCCAATTCCAAAGAGGGTAGAAAGAAATGCCAAAGTTGTTGTTTGATATCACTATAATCTCTATAATCACTACTCTCAATCGCATTTTCTCGTCAGTGTGTAGAGTTACGTTGCACATACGAACAAGGATTGGAGAAAGAAGCAGACCATATGGCTTTTACTGTGTCCTTTTGTTTTGTATATATCTTGGGTTGGGTGGGACTTTTCCCAAGTTGGGAGTATAATAATAACATGGGTCACATGATTTGTATGAAAGGGACAAAATTTCCTAAACCCTAGCTAGCTTTTAATCGTTGCCTTACCAACCAGGAAATCTATATTGATGCGACCACTGATGGTTATGATGATGAGCTACCATCGGCTTTGATGCGAATCTCTATTTTCTCCATGGTTTCAGCATTCCACCTTATCTGAAAACCAGAATAAACTATATCATCGTTGAGAAGGTGAAAACTTTTGTTCGTCTTGTTTTATCAACAATGTCAATTCACCGTCTCACTAGGAGAGAATGACCAGCAGTAAATTATCTCGTCTACAGAGAACATAACAATTATGTAACAAATGTTTTCTTTTAAACTTTTATCGAAAGATGTTAAGATATTATGTGTTCTTTTAATACATACCGATATGAATTGATCCAATATGACCCTCTCAATCAATCAACCACGAGAGAGAGTGGGTCATAATTAAGTGTGAGATTCAAAATAAAGTGCAAGAACGCATTGACCTCCATTGAGAAATTAAAGTAATGTAGGGGTTTACTAATTAGAAGTAGTGACATCAAGAAACATAGACACCAGGCAAGAGCCAAGGGCATGTGACTTAATGAAAAAAATAAGCTTTGGACACTGATCGATGTAGTGGCACGGCTATACACCAATTTATGTATTATCATGCATGTTACTTCAGATAAAGCAATGGTCTCATTTTCCCATGACAAAGCGGATAGTAGAACATGATGATTAACTCAGCTAATTAATCATCGTGTACATTAAAACCAGTTCAATTAAATCATTGATTGGTCACTCATGCAATGGTGGTGGTGAGGTCAATCTTATATATCCTGCTTTTTACCCTACGAGTCCTGAGAGTTGGTTCTTAGAAAGAGGAATGTGGCGTTAAATTTCATAACATCCCTGTTCCTCTTTTCCTGCGTATAACAGGGACTCCGAGGTTTTAATTATATACAGATGATCTTGCCTTGCGCAGTGGTTGTGGTCGTGGGAAAAGAAGAAGATTGCCTCACTGCTTGCATGTGTGCCACGGCTACAGCCTCTCCCACCAAATATCAAGTCTTAGCCACGTAGCCTGCAGGGTTGACTCCACCGCTGAGGTCCTCTGAGCTCTGACCTTGTGCTCAGATTATTTGCTGAGCCATATATATAATAGCAACAGTAATACAGTATGACACCTGGACCCTAGACCAAGCAAACAAATTGTGTCCGGTTAGTCTGAAAACGTCCACTGGCGCTGAGGCATAGATGACGATCACATGAGCTCTTCTGCTCTTCAACCTGCATGCACCTCCCGGCCGACGAGTTTCCGACCAAGTTGAAACCCCCGATTGTTGTCCATGTCATCATTTCAACCACTAGTTTTAATGAGATGTATTTGTGGCGGTATATAACTCGAATAAATTGATTTGTCGTCAATTGGAAGTCACGGGAATCTCTTGTCAGGTCAGTGAGTCGGAGTTTAGAGGCGAAGAGTCGGGTTAGGGGGTTCGGAGGAGCAAGTTGTAAGAACTACGGGCATTTAGGGTTTCGAATGGAATTATAGTTTGAGATTAGGATGAAGAGAATTTAGGGATTTGGGATTAGAATTTGAGAAATGGAAAATAGATGGTCGACGGCCTGAATAGGGAGATAAAATAGATTAGGATTTGAGAGATACTTTTTTGAATATTTTTTATTGATTAATTAATTTTGATGTAATACCCAAAGTACATATATATGAAAAATAAACTGGAAAACTTAATCATAAACCCTAAATTAACCCTAATTATCTTTGGCCACAAACCCGCCTAACTCCAAAAAAGAAAAAAACTCTAATGATAACATTTCTAACACAATGTTTCCCCAATGGGGTTTGGAGGCAACGCCCTTGATCCATGGTGTATGGCTTTGTAGTTGTTTGGGTTTCTGTGTTGAACCTGATTTGCAATATTTTTTATCAGATTTGATTAGGGTTAGGTTATTGGAGAAGTACTATATATGCTTCTAATATTTCTCTATAATCTGTAATTTCATCAAGCCAAATGAGGCCTACTTTCTCCCGTATGTAGACTAACTGACACACATTAAGTTACAGAACGACATAAATTTCTATGTTCTGTAAATTCATGTGTCATTTATTTTCTTGCTGATCGTTGTTTTACTTATTATTATCAATTGTCCTAGTTTGTGTGCATGACAGTTTACCTATGTGTCTAATTTTGCCGAAAAACGAAATGAACTGGTCAACTAATTATTATCTCCTAAAAAGAAAGTTGAAGTGACCATTTTGTTCATGATCCCAAAATTGACTGACCGTATATGTGATTCAGATTAATCCCATGAATTCGCCCCTCCCATTCCCAGGGTCCCACGAATTTCCTATGGTCAAAAAAGGAAGAAAGGAAGGACCAAGGAGGAGAGGGAAAACAGGGGAAAAGCAAAACAAAGGAGAAAATTGAAAATGAAATGAGTCACTCCCATTAATGCGAGCAGAGACTCCCACGTACAAAATTATACAAACACTTTCCCTTTCCCCCTCTCTTTCTGACTTGCATCAGACTCTGCTCTCTCTCACTCTCTCTCCCTCACATGTCCAAAACCAGAACCTGCAACTGCAGCACCACCACGCCATCTCTCTTTCTCTTCCCCATCTCACATTTTGCAGTACAACACCCACCCCCATCGTCCCAATTACTTCGCCATTGATTGCTCACTGCGAAGTCAAGAAAAAAAAACTCAAAAAAACCCCACTCAATCGCCTTTCCTCCTTCCTCCTCTGCTCTCTTCTTCCTTTCCCCTGTTTTCTCCACTCACCCTACTGCTCTCCCTTTCTTTCTTTTTATAAAGAGACCCGCTATCAGCTCCGCCCTTCCTTTCCCCTGGTTTGGTTGCTTCCCTTTTCGTCATATTCTGGCTCTCCCGACTATGGAAGCTTTCACCTTGCTCAAGTACTGGCGCGGCGGAGGAGGAGCAGTCTCCCTGCCCTCTCCTTCCCCTCCTCCTCCTCCGAGTCTTCTTCCCGCCCGTCACAACACTACCACCATTGTCGCTTCCGCCTTCCCCGACGACAATGCTGCGCCGCCGCCTTCCACCGACGAGGATTCCAGCGCCGCCGGCGACGATGGGCCTTTCTTCGACTTGGAGTTTGCGGTCGGGGAGGTGGGAGACGACGACGACGAGGAAGAGGAAGAGGGGCAGAGGAAGGGGGATGATTCCTCCGCCGATTCTGATTCTGACGGCGGTGGCGACGGAGATGAGGGAGAGTTCGATTTCACTCTCTCGTCGGCTTCCAGCTGCAACGACCGTGCGGACCCCACCGGCCAGCTGGCACTTTCCCCTTCCGACGAGATGTTCTTCAAGGGAACGTTGCTGCCGATGATGGAGTCTTCCGACGCCATGAACCCTAAATCTCA